ATGCATTGAGCTCTCCGGTTGCTTTGATACTTTCACAGGCTTTGTCCAAGCCTCATCTGTAGCCATGTGTAAGCACCTGTAGGTGTTGAACATTGTAAGCACAACACCACATGCTGAGAACAGGTTGAGAAATATCAAAATGTTCTGTAATACAGGTCGCCAAATTTTCTTAATGACTTCTTCGGTTTGCAGTGAGTAAGACTCTGGACTGTGGGGGGGTTTTGACTGGAGACCACCTGCTCACCCCTCTCTCCTTGTTTAAAGTTCAAGCACGACGCAGTAATGCACAGATTGCATTTTGGAGACAAACCAAAGTTCTTACAAATGACACGGAGGCCAGTGTAGTCGAATTGCATTTCAGGCCTGCTCATGCTGCTTTAATCTTAATAAGGCTGCTCTTAACTTGACCCCTGGTGATGAATGGCTTGATACTGAAGACTTAAACCTTTGAGGAGCATGTCATTTCTTTGTCCTAATCCTCGTTATTTCACTCTGCCCTGCCTGTTTCTCTCTCGGGCTCTCAAGAGCGAGAGGCAGTGTTCTCGGTAGGAGCTGTTGCCAGGAGACGGGATTCTCTCCCATTGTTTGTCACAGAGGGGTTTGCAGGCACGCTGTCTGGGGAGAGTGGGGGGCCAGAGACTGGCGCAGGATTACTGCAACATTGCAGCGTAACAGTGCCACTTGAGAGTGGCTCTTCGTGCGTTTGCAAGGTTAAACTGCAGCGGGACTGAATCGACTGAGTCCTTGCCTTTAAGAGTTTCATCCAAAGCAGAAAATTGGTCCCCCCCCCCTAAAAAACCAACCAAGCAAGCGGTCAGTGAAGGTTTGGATACACTACCACATACCCATGTGTGATCCATATCATTTTTAAGGACATGCAAAAATCATCAAGGAAGGTCTTTACCTTGGCCACATTATGAGTAGGTGTCAGTTGAGCCTTTTGATTTTTAAAACCTTAAAGATGCTTCAATTGAACATCTGTTTCTTCCCACTGCACAGAGGCGTCGATTTACAGTACATTACTCTTTGGGCCAAGTCATTAGCCCTAGGAGACTGAACTCAGCTGGGAGCATGTGGCAGAAAGTTAATCTCACTCCACGTTCCTTTTCAGAGCCTGTAATTATCCCTTTCACATGTCAGTTACTATAAGGGCTCCCACCCCTTCTGAGCTGCCATCACTCTGGAAATGCCAAAACGTTTCTCGACCTCTTGGACTGAAGCAGCACAGCAATGCAAAAGTTCTTTGTAGAAATCGAATTTCGGGTCTTCTGTGAGAGGCTGCCAACTTAAGTGTCGGTTATTTGTGTATAATAGGTTCACCTCTAATGCCTCTGCACCTATTTTAACAAGAGCTGGAAAAAAATTGATTTTCTTTTTCTCCGCGAATTTGTAACTTTTTTTAAAGCCTTCTGACTCTGTTACCCGCTCAGTGCCTCAATGTCAAGTGATCAAGTTGATCGACTCTTAGTCAGGAGCAGCTTTGCAGAGAGACTTGTTTTTATGGTATATAATTAGACAAGGAGAGCAATTAGTGCTGAGACTACTTATACTTAAACACTGGACTGTTTGGAGGAAACATTTAAATGGCTTTGTATCATATGAAGATCTCACACCAGGGCTATACCTTTGACACAGAACAATTAATGAGTCGCGCAGACCTGTTTGCTCAGGTACACTACCACTGCAGTCATCCCTAGTGGAAGAAGTAAGTGAATCAGTTCCTGTATTGAAATTCACAATGTGCACCCTGGTTACATACACTTCCAATAAAACTATGCATTATCACCACATGTTTGTAATTCTTGCAAAAGCTTGAAATATTGTCTCTCCATTTTTGGTTTTGGATACACCCAACACCTAACCATTTTCCCTGTCCGCTTCACTTTATATACAACAACAGCTATTGTGGATTCTCTCAGAAACAAAAATTAACACCGGCAAAATCCATCTCTGCATTATTTAAAAGTGCTCCAATTGAAGTGCAGTGGATTTTAGATGAAGATGTATTTTTTTTTCCCCAAAAGATTATCATAAAGAGATCAAATTGTGCTTGGATATAGTGCAGTTCTCTGTATTGGAAAAATGGGTTGATTTCATGTTCATTTCCATTACATAGATTAAGATGGCTCAATGCCAGAGCCATCTCTGTTTTAGTTTTTTGTTAATACAACAAATTTGATTTACGAACTGTTTCTGACTGTTCTTTTATTGAACAGTGAAGTTTTTTTTTTTTAGAAATTTAGAGTTGACGATTTTAACCCCCCACCCGATTTCATTCTCTTGTGAACCCTGTGACCGCCACGGGGAGATTGAAGAACTGTAGGCAGACTACATTGACTATGATCATCACATTTTGCACACACCTATGTATTTATTTATTTTGTTGTTTTTTGTTTTTATAACTATTCTGATGTCTGTTTTTGCTTGTCTTGGGCTGGACTGCTGTAACACATGGGCGGTGTGGTGGCTCTGTGGCTCAGGATCTGCGTCTGTGACTGGAAGGTTGCCGGTTCAAATCCCGTGGCCGGCAGAGGAATCCTACTCTGTTGGGCCCCTGACCCCTTAACCCTAACTGCTCCAGGGGCGCCGTACAATGGCAGACCCTGCGCTCTGACCCCAAGCTTCTCTCCCTGTCTGTGTGTCTGTGTCTCCATGGAGAAAAGCTGGGGTATGCGAAAAGACGCATTCCTAATGCAAGAAATTGTATAGGGTTAATAAAGAAACATTATATTATATAAACATTATTATTACATCAATTTCCCTGCAGGATCAATAAAGTCTTATCTATCTCTATCTCTAGACTCCTCCAACTCATCCGCCTTTAGCCCTTATTTCCCCCCCCCACGTGTCACAAGCAACACAGCACCAAACTCCTGTGCCTGTGCCTGGGGTGACCACAGGGGGCGCTGTTTTGACATCTGTCCTGGCTGATGTGCTCAGTTAGTCAGCTGGATCGTTGACCTCAGTTTAGGTGAGGCTGTTAAGCTCCGTGATCTGGGGAGACACACGAGTGACGGGCTTTGGGACAAGAGCACTGGTGAACCTCATTTGGCTCGCGTGTTGAAATCTCATGAGTGGTTTTTCGAGGTACAGTGGCGAAGAAGCTGGGAATAAGGGAGAATTATTCATGGGCTGTGAATTAATCTTGCTCATTTGAATCCTCCGTTACGCGCTATACAAATAGGTTACAAAATTAAATGGTTGTGGGGTCTGGGTGGATCTGTCCTAATGCTGTCTAGACTCAAGCTGTCAGTGCGGCTTAAAATAATATAATGAGAGCTGTACATAGATAAATCCACCCTTTTCGCTGTCATTGTTTTTCAAAAATAATTTCATTGCACCCATGGGAAAAAGATGGCTCCATGTGCTTGAAGGAAGCAGTATGGTTTTAGCATTACATCACTCTGAATTCTCACTGGGTGTCGTATAAAATCTCTTTTCTTGTTTAGTAGGAGACCGTGACGTTGTCCGATTTTTCGCTTTTTTTTTCTTTTGGATAAAACGTCAAATAGTTGAGCTCGCGCGAAACAAAGAAGAGGCGGCCAATTTGGCCCCCCCCCCCCTCGCAATTGCAGACAGACGTGCAGACGTGGCCATCGCCTCCTGAGTCTCTGCTCTGACGATCACAGGGCCTCGGCTTAATTAAAAGAACAACAAGTGCCAGCTTATCCGCTGAAGAGGTGACTCTGGCAGGACAGCCCCGTGGGAGTCTCTCAGCAGGGAGTGGAGCTGTTGGTGCCTCATCTCTGAGGACCGGTATGAGCCCTAGCTCACTGCCCCCAAGACAGAAAGTACCAGAGCCCAATGGTATCTAACAGGAGCGAATTCCTTCCAAGGTTGTGGTTAGCAAGACAGTGCTGCATACAAACAAAACAAAACTGTATAATTGACCGACACCCAGCTGTGTCAGAAGTAGTGCTGGCTCATCCAGTTTCTTCCGCCAAAGTCCCCGCAGGTGCCAGCTGGTTCTGTGCAGTTTTGATTTTTCCAGTGCTCCAAGTTTTCATCTCTGTAAAATAGATGAGCGCACGAGGTTTGACTTCGGGTTAAATTGAATTATTTTCCCCCCTCCATCTGCATATTTTTTGTCGTAATGGCCCAAACAGTCCCCTGGGGGGTATTCGTGTTAATTACATAATTACTGAAAAGCAATTCATAAAACTAAGCTCATGCGTTTAGAAAATCTGCCCACGTTCCTTGCAGTGGGAGATTTGTTTCCTGCGTCTTTTTTTTATTCCATCACCGTGGCTCCCCAGGGTGTGGAAGTGATCCGGGGATGATGTTTGGTAAAGCTAATGGAAATGGGGTTATTTTATGAGAAAGCTGTTGGTTGCATTTGAAAACTGGCCGGCGCAGGAGGTCTGATCAGATTTGTTTTCTCACGCGAGAGCCAATATTGAGAATGTACACATTTGGGCATTCAGCTCACGATGAATGAGTAAACAGCTTGGATTCCACCCTATGGTGAAGACTTTAAAACATCTTAGCAGAATGCTGAGCCTTCAACACGCTCTTTTAAACCCTTTTTTTTCTTTTAGTCTTGGTGCCCGTGCTTTTGTATCTGCTTTTTCCTGTTAAAATTATAAACAGGTTGATGTTGATCACCTAGTGATCTGGTCACAGTGTCTTCCCTTATCCTGGCTGGGATGGAGAAACTACGGCCGCTTTAACATTCCTACCCAACGAACGTGAATAACGCAGGAACTCTGGAGGAGACGGGTCACGGGGTGTTGGGCAGTCTTGGCGGCGAAGTGATCAGAATTTCCCTGACCAGGGTGTGTATACTTTGGATGACCCGCGGTCAGGGACTCTCATTCCCACCTAGCGTCGCCTGAAGGAGAAGCTCTGGGCGCGTTCGCTTTGCAGCTGCAGGAACCTTTTGTGTTGGCCTTCCGGCGGCTCGTTGCGGGCGGGGCAGGGGCGCGAGGAGGAATCGCCCGGCAGCTCGAGAGGGGGGGGTCTCGCGGAGTCTGACGTGGGGTATCTTTTTTCCCCGACAGGGGCATCGCGGGGGCTGGATATCACCTCCACCGGGGGGGCGACCCTCGAGCAAGCCAGCGGCTCCGCGGCGACGCTGGAGTGCAATTTCACCTTGGACCCCACGGACACCGGGCCCCTGGACATCGAGTGGAGCTTGCTGGCCTCCGACAACCAGAAAGAGGACAAAGTGGTGAGTGCGAGGGAGGGAGGGAGGGAGCGGCGGCGGCGGCTGTCCCCCGTCGCCTGCCCAGTGTTCACCTGGGACCTCAGTTAGCAGATCTGGGCAAGATGGCACCCGGGCAGGAGGGCGAGAGAGCTTGCGTTGCTCCTCGTGGACGTGTCCATTTCCGTCTCCGTACAGCTGTGCAGCCCGGCGCTCCTGTGTCCATGTCCACGTCGGGCACTGCGCTGCAGTGCTGCGTGATAATGACCGTTGTGTGGGGACACCTGGCAGCTGTGCACCATGGTTTTGAGAGAGCTCTCCTCGGCGTCACAGGTTCTTGAGTGACCATTCCAACTTACGATCCAGTGGCTGTTCCGTTGGAAGTCATCCCACATTTCAGCTATTCCTGGGATGTGATGTGGAACAGCAGGTGTCTGTTTTAAGATGCACTCAAGTCAGGTCAGCAGTGCCGGCCCCAGGCCAGAGTCAGATTTCTACACTAAACAGGCTCCAGGTTGCCAGAAAGTCTTGCCAGGAATAAGATGGATGTGTGAGTAACTGTTCCTTGGTCCCAAGTCCAAGTCGATGGGACACTTGAGATGTGGTGACTCCTGTGAGGGGGATGCTCTGTTCTTAATTCTGTAGCTCCAGTACGAGTCTGCAACCTGCTCTCGTTTGTCCCTGTTTCGGAAGCCGCGATGCAGAGCACAGGGTGTGTACGCTTGTATGCGTTTGTGCGATTCGCTTAAAGATCGTTCCCCTAGAAATAGTTGAAAACGTTGTTTTTCCTTGGATCGACCGTCACATGAAGAACTTTACAGCATGCAAGTGCAAACAAAATGCCATTTTGGAACGGAGTACCGCAGATATTTCCTTTAGGAACAACACTGAATTCATAATGGTTCAGTGCGGAGTGTAAATCAATTCAGGCTTTTTACTAAAGCAGTTATCCATTACTGAACATTAATCCCTCCTCCACACATTTCTGAGTCTAGCTTATTGAACTTATCGCTGTTGGTCGATTTATGGCTAACTGCAGTGTTTGTTGTTTTAATACCTTTTATATAGAGTAGTTATAATTTTGAGACTAGTTCCTTTGTTTGAGAAATTGCACTGAATTGGTGTTTTTGCTTGGATTTCCTGTCCTGGGTCTCCTGGTGCCAAATTTCCCCACTAACAGTACACGATTGTGCTCTGTTGATATCTAGATAAGAAATTAGCCAGGAGCTTTAAATAGCTGTATTTCAGCTATTTAATTTTATTTTATTTTATGTAATTAAGACAGAAAATAGACTGTCTTAATTTAACTAGATGGTCATAAATTACATAACTACTATAAATCCATAGATTACATGCAATTAAGATTGCAGCTGTCACCTTTTTATTTTCAAATATCAATAAATCAACTGACTTTGTGATCGGGGTTGGAATCCATTATAAACTTCCCATTTTGCATAAAGCTGCGCACTCTGAAGGTACTAAGCAGGCAGTGCTGCTTTTCTATTCCGCACCAGTCACCTGAGCCATTTTCCCGGAATTCTGTTAAGACAGTGGAAAGTTGTCACATGGAGTGATAGGGGACACATGCTGGCACTGTCAGGATAAGGATGTTTTCGCTGACTGTTTGTGTCAGTTTTCAGGTCACTGCGGAATATTCTCCATTTACATAATGACAGGGTACATCAGTAAATGAAGTTTTAATACGTTCTGAGCTTGACAAGCCGTTCCAGAAGTAAATATAGGAACAGGGGCTCGGATTGTTCAGTAGCTCCATAGGTTGAGCGGAGCTGAGCCATAACACAAGGGTACATGCACCGACACTGTACTATCAGGACCAAGGAGTCATCTGTAATTGTGTGGCCCCGATTTCCTGCTTTTTCAGCCCCGAAGCATTAGTAAGTGCGCCTGCACCTCTGCCTGCTGGAGCATGGCAGAACTGGCTTGAGACGCTTCTGTCCGAGACGGTGAAAGGCATGGTTGTACTCTTCTCTTTAGTCTAAACAAAGAGCCTTGCGCCAGTCTGGGAAAACCGCTGCTCTGAATGTATTGGGCAGATATGCACTGCAGGCGGAAAATCTGCTCTGGTGTACTTGCGCATTTTGATGCTCATTTTCACACCGGTGAGGAAGGCTGCCTGCAGGGCTGTTTCTCGCTGGCAGGCTCCTTCCTGAGTGTACAGAGCATGGAAGCAGTAAGGCAGGCTCTGTAGCTGAACCAGTGGGTTAAAGGACACGGACGCCCTGCACTAAGCACACAGTAAAACAAATGTAAAGCAGAAGGTAGGTGGGGGGAGGGGGGAATCCTGGATTTTGTTTATTTTTTCATTCCATGAGGCTGCACAGGCGTGCCGTTGTCTGCGGCGGGGTACCTGCGCCACAGTGTGCGTGCTGGGACTCGGCCTCCCTGCCCAGCCTGCGAGTTATTTTTGGGCCGTTTCCCCTCAGCGTGGGCTGGATGGATTCCGATAAAGTCGAGTTCAGCATCAGCGTTTGTTTTCATTCAAGCTGTTTGCTCAGTATAGCTGACCTGCTGGCTGGTCCCTGGCCGTGTCCGGGCTCCCCAAGGATTAATCTGTTTGTGTCGTTTTAGAATACGGTGACATTTGACTCTCCCACGTGACTCAGGAATTCATTAAATACCACTTAGTATAATTAACCTGCGGTTTGTTTATAACGATCACGATTGCAGTTTGCTCTTGAGGGGAAGTAAAAACTCTGAGGTTTGCTGGATTTTAATTTAACCATGCGTCTGAAATCCAGTCTTCCAGCTGTGGGGGGGAGCAGTCTGCCAGCGAGACTCTCTCCGCTTTCCCTGTCCGTGCTGTCTAGAACAGTGTGTTTATACAAAAGGTGTGGACGTGGCTCAGCCCAGCTCTCCGTTCACTTACTGGAACTCCACATCGAGGACAGTAATCGTCAGGCCCACTGGGAGGTTGTGCGTTTGGATGGAAGGATTTCAGGCTGGCCTGGTGTTCCTCTTTCTTGGCGGCGCTCATGATGCGTGATGACAAACTCTGTAATGAGCAGGCTGCTGCCCCCAGGTCGGGAGTGAGATTGTCACCATGCTGCTCGTCCACCTCTGATCACGTGCTGTTGTTGTTTTGCTTTCTCTCTGCAGATTATCCTGTACTCGGGGGACAGGGTTTACAGTGATTATTACCAGCCTCTTAAGAATCGCGTCCACTTTGTGTCTGCGGACCCCAAGACCGGAGATGCCTCCATACAGCTCACCGGGCTGCAGTCCTCCGACACTGGCACGTACCAGTGCAAAGTCAAGAAGGCCCCAGGAATCAAGAGCAGGAAGATCCTCCTCACAGTCATGGGTGAGGAGTTCTCCGGGGGGCCGTCACCATCTCCTCACACTATCTCGCCACCAGGGTGGAATGGCAATGTCTCGTGGGACTGGAAAGGGTGTGACTGGGAACTCTGGTATCCCATGTGTTGAAGCAGTTGCAGACTCCTATCCTCCCTGAAGACCATTACCTCAACATTTCCTCCCTTTAGAGTGTAGATGTGTTCCAAGTGGGCACAATGCTTTCACATGCTAGTGCCACAGGTGGCAAACCACTGGTCTTTCCCCTTCTGACACCACACGCTAGCCTTGTGATGACAGCCAGAGCAAGCAGAGTTTTCTGGACGCCCAGTGTGAGAACCGGCTCTCTTGTATATCTTGTTTGAGGTAACAATCTACAGCGTTCATAGCCTTGACTGACGGTATCAGTCAGGGAATGTGCTGAGCGCTGGTAGAAGATACTGTGCCTGACTCTCTTTGTTGACCGTTATGACGAGGAGAACGTGTTTTTTTCCCCACTTGCAGAATGTTGCTCCCTGGCGATTTGCACATGCAAATGTCAGGAGACGTCTGTGGCAACAGTGTAGAGAGGGAGAGGAGGGTTTTGTTCCCCCGCCCCCATAACACAATGTACCATAGCTCTGTAGGCATAGCAGGCAGGGTTCTGGCGCCCTGGTGTGAAACAGCGTGTTTTGGCAAACAGACAGGGAGGATTCACGTAACTCCGTGACCTTGCAGGGCAGCTTGAGCGCAAAACAAAGGGAGGCGGCCGCTGGCATTTTAGAAATCGGTCTAAAGTGCAGTGACTTGGCTGTAAGCGTTTTAACAAAGAAGGATAAATATCGGCATCGTGCAGTTCTCATAACTGTTTCTCTCTTGGAGGCAGTCGGTTATACTCCCACGGTTGATGGGTTTTGCGGGATCAGTCACTTATTGGAGCAACACACCTGTAGTGCAAAATACACCCGTCTCCAGATTGTCCGATCCCTTACTGTAATCCCTGTTAGGGTGGACAGTTACTCTGTGAATTCTGTTTCAAAAGACAGAAAGAGCTAAACTTGGAGCAACTGGTCTCTCTATGACCCCCTGGCCATCTCAGGCTGGTTTTCCTCTTTCTGAAACCCCATGCCTCTCACCCAGAAAGCTAGGATTCAGATTTGATGAAGTATTTGCAGTCATTTTTTATATTCTGTAGGTTTTATGAAATGTAAGCAGTACATATTTGCGTACGTTAACCAGTTAAGATATATATTTGACTTCTAAGCATTGCATATATAAGGCTTATTTACATGAACTTGCTAGGATACAAGCAAACGTGAGACTGTAAAGTTAAAAATGGGTTTTCTTTCATAGTTTATCATTTAAGAGGTGCCGGGAGAAATAAGTCACTACAGTCAGATTTGCTTTGGAGCCCTGGATGTGAATGGAATATGAAAGCTCTGGACCTGTGTGCCAGCACGCGGTTTTCAATGCCGATCAGCACGAAAGGAAAAACATAGCAGACTGACAAGACACTCTCGATAGGTGACGGCTTGCCTGCTTTGCATATTTTGCAGGAAACTCTCCTTGCTGGGTGACATAGCTCAGGGTATGTACACAAGGCCACACAGAGAGATACGCATCAACTCGGAGCATATTTCTAGCCCCTTGTTGTTGTCAGTTTCAGTAAGAAGACGGGCAGTGAAATGAGTAGCTGGAGATCAACCTACATGCCATCTCCGCAGTCACTGCTCTGGTGCTACAGCAGCTTGTGTAAAGCACTCCAGTTCCCTGGTTATACGGAGAGCATTTTTAATCCAAGGCTATCAAAAATGCTGTAATTAAATTAACACCTCACTGGCCCCAGAATACTATATGATTAGAGTTCCTGAGCTATGGTGCCCAATGAGCACAGCGTTTGTAGCAGAGTGTTTTGGGAGTGATAATTATCAGTGCCTGTCTACAGTACTGTGTCAGCTCCAAAAATGAAGGGGTTGTGTAAGTGGAAAACATTCATTTCCGCATTAGAGGGAAGCAAAGCACCACTGTAAGATGAAATAAAGAGAGGGTGTTCTGTTCTACGCCCCTTAACCCTGCAGTATAAAACCGTTTGGTTTCTCTCAAGTTTCCATCAACCATATTTAAAGTGTTGACCTTAACTATTGAATTACTGTCCGTACACTGCCTGCCCCCTGCAAATGCCACAGTACAATCGGCCCTGTGTTAATCCACATGTTTTTGCTGTTAAGCTGCAGGTCTGTACGGTGGAGGGACATAGAGGCTTGTTTTTACAACCAGCAAAACCAAACAATGATGTAAACTCATGGGGGTTTAAAAGGTCTGCACTCTGAACAGGCAGGATTCCCGTCATAAAGATGTGGCTGGGATCCTTCCTGGCCTCGGAGCAGGGCACGGCCCTCTCGGGTTACGCATTGACTTGGTTTAGATTTCGGTTTTGCTTTAATTTCCTCCTTTTCCTGCATTCATGCAAAAAGTCCCTTGGTCTGTTTTTTTAGTGAAACGGCAAATAAGACTCTTGTCCCTATTCTTTTTTTTTTGTATTCTGATTCCGTGCAAAGGTTTGGATGTCCTCCCAGTACAGCCCGGTTTTGTAAAAACAGCTCCAGCGATATTGACACAAAGACGTAAATAAAAATAGTGCCTTTAAAGCCATGAGCAGGAGCACTGCGCCCGAAGGGTTGTGGCTGTGTTTAACAAGCTAACCAGCGGTGTTATCAAAGCTGATACCCTGGCTTCTCTCACTATACGGCTGGCTGAGACCCTCAGATCAGTCAGGCACTGATTAGCGGTTTAACTAAATGGACTGAACGGCCCCTTCTCCTACTCGTCATTTAAAAAAGTCACCTGGAGACTGTCCGGCTGAGGCTATCTGCTGCCCTCGTAACAGCTGGGAGAGGGTGGTGGTCAGCACCGCTGGTGCAGTTAAACGCAGGGCTTGTGGAGTTTCTCCCATCGCTCTGATCTAGTTTCTGTCTCGTATTTAGTTCGTTCTAATGGTCTCGTGGGAATAAATGAAACACCGCGTTGCACAAAATGTTAAAGCCCTTTCGGGGCCCTCTTCCAGAGGGGGGGTGTGGTGCAATCAAGCTCTTTGTTTCCGCTCCAGTGAAGCCATCCAAGCCGCGGTGCTATATCGAGGGCTCGCCCCAGGAGGGGAAGGACGTCACCCTGAAGTGCACGTCGGCGGAGGGCACCAAGCCCCTGCAGTACAACTGGGAGAGGACCAACGAGAACAAGCTGCTGCCCGCCAACGCCGTGCTAGGTACCTGCCCTGCCTGCCCCCCCCTCTCCGGCTCCTTGCTGGCCTGGCCTGGCAAATCTACTTTCTCCCAGTTTGCCAGGATTTGTCTGAGCTCAAGATCTCCGATCTCTTTTTTTGCTATATCGAGGGGTGCTCGGAGCTCCGAGTCACGCGGTGGCGATCCTCATTTTTAAAAAAACGAAACTGGGATGAAAGCCTGTCGCCACGTTATCATCCCACCAGTGGGCTTGAGATTCCCTTGTACCCTTTTCCCCCCCTTTCCCTTGGCCTTGTGCGTGAGTCAGTGTGGCTTTTGTAGGTCGTGCTTCAGGCCCAGTGAATGAAACCCAGGTGTGCGTGTCTTTCATCTGTCTGTCGACCCTTAAGAACGTGGTTGCTCTCCCATGGCGTGGCCGCCTTGCTCGAGCCCCCGGCGCCGCGCCGGAGAGAGAGGAAGGAAGTCCGCGGCGCCGCGGTGAGGGGCGGCCCCTTCCTGCCGCTGCGGTTTTGACCGGGGGGGGGTCATGTTCCTCTCTCCGCAGACCGCGTGGGCGGGACCATGAGCGTGAAGAACGTGTCGGCCAGCGTCTCGGGGACCTACCGCTGTCTCGCGGAGAACCGGGTGGGCAAGGACGACTGCTTCGTCCACCTCAAAGTCGTGCCTCGTAAGTGTGCACCTCCTCCCCAGCACGCGCGAGGGCTGCGGCTCTTCCACAAAGGCCGTCCGTTGTGTGCTGGGTCTCCAAACCACTTCTCATTTTCTGCCCTGTGTACCGGAGCCCTGAAGCCCTGCCTCTATATGTGGCAGTCCTGATATGCTGGAAGCAAGTTTGCCCTTCAGATTGCTGTTTACTGGGTGTGGAATGTTTCCCGAAAGCAAATAGCCCATTTACTGACGAGTAGATGACACTGGAGCCAGATTCACGTGCCAGTGATCTGGAATCTGTTTTTCCTGTTGCAGTGGTGTGCAGGTCCCCGTTTTTTTGGCTTGTCAAAGCCAGGTCACTAGCCAGTCTTTAGTCCAATACAGATCGAGGCACCAGAGTCCGATTTTCGCAATGGCCAGATTCACTGTTTTGTGATGGCTAGCTTTATTCTTCTACAAGTAAAAAAAAAACTGTTGTATTTTTAAAGGACACAATTTTCTATGAATCTAATGAACTGCACTGAAATAAGTACTTTATTACAGTTTTATATCGCCAAGCCTGGATTCTCTCTAGCAGTAGTTTTAGGTTTTTGCTGTAAATAACTAAATGGCATCATTGGAGAAACCTGAATCCCATAAAAAAAGGCATTAAATGCCATAGAAAATGTACCCTGCAAGCACAGCCGGGTGTTGCTGCACGCTGGAGCTCAGTGCGGCTGTCATTTGCCACCCTGTTGGGGAGAAACCAACAGGCCAGCATCTCAACACTGGGCCCACTTTTCTCCCGCGCTGCAAAAAACCAAGATCTCGCATGCGGTTTTGCCTTTCTGTCCAAGAGCGTTATAACGCGTCAACCCCCGTTCACCAATCCCCCTCCTGTCGCGGAGAGGTGCCGCCTCTGAACGGCGGTATTTTTCAGCCCCCGTTTCGGCGCCGAAGTGATCCTGTGCTCTCTCTCTCGAACCCGCAGCCCCCAACACCGCCGGCATCATCGCGGGGGCGGTGATAGGAGTCCTCCTGGCGCTCATCCTCATCGCCATCATCCTCTTCTGCTGCTGCCGCGCGCGAGGCAAGAAGAAGTACGAGAAGGAGACCTCCTATGAGATCAGGTACGGCCCTTAGCGTCTGTCTCTGTGTGTGTGTCTGTCTGTCTCTGTGTGTGTGTGTCTGTCTGTCTCTGTGTGTGTGTGTCTGTCTGTCTGTCTCTCCTGAAGCAGACGTCTCGTGTAACGTGCAGCGGTTAGGGACTGAGAACCTGGGCCTTGCTTTCAGAAGCTCTGCTGATGTAGCAAGGCATTAATCACAGGGTGTGTGTGTGTGATGTAGGTCTTCAGTGTAACCACCACATTGGAGCTCTGGCAGCCTTTTCTCCCAGTGTACCACACCGTGCATTTTTTTCCCCTTACCTGGGGAGGTTTGGCAAGCTCTAGGAATGCATTGGTTGGCATCAGCGGATTAGAATGACATTACTCAGTGTAAGCACGTCTGACCAGGAAGTTAGAGGCCACCCGTCCGGTTTTGGTCCTCAGAAGGGTGCTGGAATCCCGGGTGTGGTTTGACTTTTTTTTTTCCCCTCTGTGGTTTGTAACAGAGCAGTTCCCCGAGACTGGGGGGGGGGGATGGGGAAGTGGGGGGGTTGCTTAGGAGAGAGATTCAAAACGGTTTCTTCTGACATCAGCAGTTATAAAAAAAAAAGCCTTCGGTAATCAGTTTGGGATTGTTTGTTCTGTCGATTCACGTTGGTCCGTGCCCACAAACGTGCTAAAAGAGCAGACCTTGCATGTCTGACAAAAGTCTCTGGGTGCACAACAGAAGTTCATTCAGAGTGTGACAAAGAGGATTAGAGCAAATGAGCGCGCTCCTCTGCGGGCTGCCTGTCGCACTCCCAGGCAGTTTATTCCCTTTTTTATTCGGGTGTGGAATGGATTTTCTCTGCTAATTACTTGTGCATTTTTTGGGGGTCTTTGCTAATTGTCAGACTAAACCCAAATCCTTGTTATTTTAGCCTCCTGGCTACAAAGACACGACTATGAGGATGAGATGCAACACTCTGCTACTAAACGTTATTCCCAGCTCGTTTTTAACTCTAAATTGTCGTTTTGTATCAATCTGTACGGCTCCCGACAGCATGTTCCCAGTATTTTATTCTGTGTTCGTATCTGTTATTCGACGCTGGGCCTGATTGACTTCTGCAACGCTTGTCACAGTGATGAAGCCCCCCAGCGCGGCAGTGAGATATCGGGTCCACACCCACTTCCCCGGGCTCGCCAGCTCCTGCTCCGCCTGACCTCGTCTCCCTTTCTCTGCCTCTGTCCCGCAGGGAAGACGTGCCCCCTCCCAAGAGCCGCGCCTCCACCGCGCGCAGCTTCACCGCCATGAGCAGCCAGCGCTCCTCCCTGGGCTCCATGTCGCCCTCGAACCTGCACGAGTACGCCCTCAAGGGGCAGTACGACCAGATCCCCACCGAGGAGTACGAGCGGCCGCCCAGCCACGTGCCCATGCCGCCCCCGGCCAAGGTAGCTGCGCCCAACCTGAGCCGCATGGGCGCCGTGGCCGTCATGGTCCCGGCGCAGACCAGGGACGGCTCCATCGTGTAGCAACCCGCGGGGCGGCCGCGCACCCGGAACCCGCGGCCGGGCGGGTCGGATGCGGCTATGCGCGCGCCGGCGCTTCCGAACGCGTCTCAATACTCTTCACACCAAACGTGTTACCTCCGGAGAAAAGACAACGATTTGGCTGAATTTATGAAAGACTTACATGCCATTCGTGCAATTCTGAACATCTGGCCGAGCTTTTCTTTTCTGCAAGCATTTGTCTGTATATAATCACATGTGAACGGACACGGACAGGAGTGCTTGGACTTAATCGGGCGCCTGATCGTCTTAACTCCTCCCCACATTTTCCACACACCAGTGCACACAAACTCCTTACCTTTTTCATGAGCTCTTGTTTTGTGAGCATACCAACATATGACGGGTTTTCATGTTTAACCCAGCTGTTTTTAAAGCCTTCTTTATGATCACCCAATAAGAACGGAGCTTTTTACAAGGGTGCCAGTAGTTTCACTGGAAATGTTATAAATAACTATAAACTCAAAGTAAGAAGAGAACATTTTATCGTCTGTAATCAAATGCAGAATGTTTTTTTTTTATTTTATTAAGGCTGCTTCTGTCTTGAAGGTAATGGGGAATCTGTCTTGTGTCGTGTTTTAAAATATTTAATTCCACTGACATAAGGAAGCATGATGTGTTGAAGTTCCAAGCTGTAGGAATGACCACTCACTGGAAAGCAGCCGGAACTTAATGTTTGCGGTCACATGAAGTAGGTCTCCGACGACCACAAGTGAAGGCATTAGGGTTCGTGGGGAGCGGCTGGGCTTCACTCGCTTCACTAACGCTCTGCTTTAAAGACGTTTCTCGTTTTTCTTTGTTTTTTTTTTTACTCGGCCATTTGTGTTGCCTCTGTCAGGGGCGTGTGCCTCTGCCTCTGCCTCTGCTGTCTTGAGCTGGTTATTTGTGCTGAACAGGCAGCAGGTGTCTTGACTTTGAACTTGGCCAATAACCTTTAACAACCACTTCGGGCAGCAGCGGAGGGGTGAATGTGGTAAAAGGCAGTTCGGCTGAGCTGAAGGGTCCAGGGTTCACTGGGGTTTCTGGCACTTTTGCCGATGGAAAGGATGACTCTACTTGTACCCAGAGAGCTGTGGGAGAACAACCACCATGAAGGGGGGTGTACAGAGCCGTTATAGTGGTGGTGGGGTCCATCTCTGCCATGGAACATTTCAGCCAAGCAGGACCTCTTTCATAAAATATATCCCCAAGACAAGGAAGCAAATCTAGCTATTTAAACTGTCCATGCATCTCTTGTCTTTTACACAAGATGTAAGGGAAACGGAATCCTACGTAACGCTATACATACAATTTAAAAACATTCATGACTACGTGGATGTTTTAATGTTTTTCCTTTGAGGGCCTAATCTTTCTGAATGAAAGCGATCTCCCTCCCTAGAGAGGCTTCCCTACTCAAAATTGTTTGATAGACATCCCGTTAGCCAAGAAATGTGGCAGGGCATGTTACTTTTTAACATTCAGGATAACTGAATGGGTATTAATTGATATGGCGTCTACTGTAGGAGTCATGGACTGGTCTTCATAAAGTCGACTTGAGTCCTTATTATTTCTAAATAGGTATTGGAGCCCCCTCGCCCTTAGTCTCATCACAGCAAATGTTTTATTTTCTATTTCTTTTCACTTTGATGTGTACACTGAGCTCTGAATCAGCACCTCCACTGCACTCTTTGACAGCAATTTATATTCTGTGTCATATCAACAGCCATTCTGGAGTGTACAGAGTCCACAGTCAGATACAGTAAAATGGCGCAATGACAGTGGTCATCCCAGCGCTACCTGTGCCTTGGTTATGTGCTTTCCTGTGTGGTACACGGAGATGATTCAGCAATAGCTTCAGTGCCTACTCTTTCCCAGGTCCTCTCTGGCACATACAGGGGTATTTAGCCCATGACAGATGCCTTTGAAACTGACCAAAACACAAGTGCTGCTCTTCTGACCTGTTCTCTTCTGGTGTTCTGCTTTTTCACACTGGGGATGTGGTGGCACTGGGCCAACTGGCTGAAACTGTTGGGCTTGACACTGTAACTGCTGCCCACCCCTTTAACTACCTGACTGAAAATCTCTTTTCTCAAGTCTCTCCCTTTTGATACATTAGAAGCCTTTGTTTTCCCCAGTTTTGTACATAGCTACAAATGTCAAGCTCTGTTCTTCTGTTGATTGATTTGATTTTTGCATGCTATTAAATTTCCCATTTGTTATTGACTGCAAACACATTTTCTGATATTTTTTTTTTGTAAATGTGTCTGAAAAATGTGTATATTATTGGTTTAAAGTTGCTCCACAACTGAATGGTTTTGTGACCAGATCAGCAATAAATTTTATAATGTGAATAGTGTTTGCAATGCTGTGTTCAGAAGATTTTTAAAAATCTTTTTCGGATAATTATTTTTTAACATTAGAAAAAGGAGGGAAGTCACTGACATTTATTGGTTGAATTCTGCAGTCTGTTCCAGACCAATATAAACTGCTGTACAGGGTTTTTTCCAGATTGCATGAAATTGATATTCATGTCTGTGATTTGAGACCTCTGCTGCCTGTGATTGTGGATTTTGCAGTTAGAATGCCCTTGGGTGGCTTACTGGATCCTTGTGAGAAGTATCCATAAGTTAAATTAGGGCTAACCCTAAACTAAGGGCTCCACAGCTGGTTTGACGTTGCTTGTTGGTATGTCTAGACAGTATTTCTGAAGTGTGGCCACCAGTCAGCCAGGGGTCACAACAGCAAAGTGTAGCAGAACTGAAGAGAGACCCTGAGTCCTTTTCCCACTGCAGCTAAGTCAGGCTCCTGCTATTGACCTGGTGTGGTCAGACAGCAAATGCAGAATCTTGTCAGTGTACCTCCTCTCTCTCTGGTCCAGAGACATGCATTATTTCCCTTTAAAATGGGTCTGATTGGTAGTTCAATGAGCATGCACCTGCAAAAATTAATGTGTAAAAAAAGTGTAGACTTAGAAACTGTATAGTCCTTTGCTTTTCTAAAAATTTCATGGTGGTGTAGTTTATGCTAGTGTACTAATATTGTACTTTTTTGATGTGCACTTTGTGTAAATCCACTGCTACTGCTATTTCTTTCCTTTGTGCATTTTGTGTATTTTTAAATAAAATCTATTAAATGGAAAATAACACTTCAATGTTTTGGGTTCTTTTTCTGGCTTCTCTTTGTCCCATCCTCCTGTCTGTGCCTCTGTTGGACTCTGTGTGCACCTGTTCACTGCTCCTCCCCTTCTGCTGAATCAGCCTGGGTTTGCAAAGCATCCTAATTCCTTACACTTATAAAACACTTTTCTGGACGCTCCACTCAGAGCTTTACAGACAATGGGGGTTCCCCTCCACCACCACCAGTGTGCAGCCCCACCTGGATGATGCAACAGCAGTCAAAGTGCGCCAGTCCGCTCCCCACACACCGGCTCTCGGTGGGGAGCAGAACAAAGTGATGAAGCCAGTTCAGAGAAGGGGATTATTAGGAGGCCACGACTGGTAAAGGCCAGGGGGAAATTTAGCCAGGACACCGGCAGAGGAGCCCTATTCTTTTCGAGAAAAGAGTAAATTTTGGTGACCACAGAAAGGCAGGATCTTGGTCCTTGTGAAAGTACCGTGTATTTGACCTCCCCAACATCAGAGCCGTCTCCATGCAGCCAAACCGCGAGCGCATCTCCGAGCTGCTCTGGGGCTGGACTCGGCTGGAACACAGCCCTTTCTTCAAAGTCTGCTTGTCTTTCGAAACGTTTAAGTCTGCGTTCACATGGAAGGGACATCTGCAGCTCTGACCTTGCTGTTGCAAAACATTTTTTTTTTCTCCTATTTCAGCGATGCCCGAAAAGCTCTTGCACAAAGCAGTTTCTCAAATATTTGGTGCGGTTCACGGGGCCATTTTTGGAAACTGTCCTGACGTATTACTGGAGTGATGCAAAAGCGTGTGTGTTTGAATCCTACCTGGGGAGCTTCAGAAAGCTGTGAGCAGAAGGAAAAAATCTGCCTCCTGCCTTAGTTTTTGAAAAAAAAAGCAAAGTGACGCTCCCTCCGAAAGCACCTGGGGTTTTTCAGCTCTTACCTCTGCATGTCGCCTGTTTAATTTATTAATTGTTTCCAAGGACTGAACTACTGAGTGCTGATTGGCTCGTGCTCACAGTTTCCCTGGCAACCTTATCGAGTTGTATACAGACTGAGCTGGCTCTATACATGACCAGCTCTGGATAATTTATCTCTTGTTTGTGCAGTCCTGTAACAAAAGGACCCTCTCTGCTACTTCAGTCTAACTTTTATTACTGTTTACTGTTCTTTTTAATTGTCGGCAACAATTATTGACCTAGTGTGCAATTCTGTTAAGTTGGTTCACTTGGTATCGAGTTGAAATTCCTTTTACTGTTCCAGGTTAATTCAAGTAAGTTTTCCAAAATCCTAGAAATCAATTTCATTTCTAGCCTGTTGTTTTGAAGACACTAGGGGTGCTGGCTTCTCCTGTTGTAGGAGTACTAAACAGCAGTCAATGGTGGCAGTGCAGGGACGTGTACAGGTAACCTAGCATCTCTGGAAGAGTCTTAAAATGATTCCGTTTAGTCAATTAGAGAACAATTAGGTGGGATGAAAGTCTGCAAGCCACTGGGAATGGATTTGTGTTCTCCAGGCCTGTGCATGATTCCTTTCCCCCTCTGTGGACAGGAATCTGAATCCAGCTGGTCACATCTGAATTAAATTTAGTGGTTTGTTCACAGCCCACAGAGCAAACCCATGTAAACTGGTAGTAGCCCACCACTGTGGTGTTACTTTGACTTCCAGGCTTCAGTGTCTATGGGTGGTCTGGCCAAGTCTAGTAAGCCCTGATAGGTGTACAATAAAGACTTATCAGCCATTAATATTCCCCAGCAAGAACTCGGCGCACACACCCTCATAGTCCAGAGAGCACCTTCCCCACTGCACGCAGTTCAAGCTGGTGCTCGGTCTCAGCAGGCAGAAGCTGGGGGGCTTCTGAGAGGGTTTAGTGCAGGCGGGGCACTCGCATCCTTTCTGCCCCACAAGACAAAGAGTTAAGAGGCAGCTGTGATGGCGCTGTTTTCCACAGGCAGGCTGGGCCTTTCAGAAGGAGCTGCAGAGGTTATTAATCGCGTCACTCTGGGCAGACACTCCTTAAGCTGAGAACTACGTGCCAGTGAGAGAGAGGAAACCTAGCTCCAAAAAGACCGCTGTCACGAGAGCTATGATTTAGAAACCACTGACTGAGAGGCTTTAATTAAGCTGGAGGTAAATAAGCTGTAACACAAATGTATTTCCAACAATTTATCTAAATATGGCATTGAGAAACAAGCATCTCAGGCAAATATTGTTACAGACTTTCCCAGGGCAGGTCACATTCTGTATAATGATGTCTTCCCAAGCAAATTCGGCAAGCTTTCAGCCTCACAGTGGGTTGTATTTAACTGCAAAGAAAATGGTGCTTTTGTGAACAATCAGCACACAATCTTTGAAGCAAGAATGTTTTCTGAACATTTTAAATGACAATCCATGTGTTTCCCTATCTTCATGTGTTCTTCTTTTGTGCTGTTTATGGGTGCACACAAATTGCACCAAATACAATGTATAGTGCTTCAGCATCTTTGCACGCTTTGAAGAGAACCTATAGTGAATGAGTTGCATTTTTGGGAACTTCAGTGATAACCATGCTCTTTTCCCTGTAGTATCCAGTACTATGGTTCCAATCTCAGTGATGCTAAAAAATACTCTATTCTGTTTTTGTTTTAGATCAGGAGTTGTGTCGTGGGACAGGTCTCCCTCAGCGCGATGGGAGAGCATGCTTTGTTTAACTTGACTGGGGATTCGTAAGTGAGACGCATCTCCGTCTCATTGAGCTATTGTCTCCTGAAGTTCCCAGGGCCTGCGGCGCAGCCAACTGAACCTCGAGCTGTTTTCATGCAGGCAATTAGTGCAAACTTCTCAATGTCAAGAGCTGTCCACACCATGTGCCCATAATCCAGACTGAATCCCTTGGGGCCACAGCATGCAGGCCTGTGCTGCTTGGAGGAGTGGGTGGCGCTGGGGGTGGGTGGGGGACGAGTCCTCTTGGCTTCACAGCTCTCCAATCAATTCTGCTCCCTGGGGGGGGGAATCAGATTAGTGCTGTTGGAAGCTGACTGTAAATGACAGAGCAGTCAGACAGCAGGGCGAGCCTGGGTGTGGGCCACTGTCATTTCAGACTAATGCGCAATCTTTTGTACCGACGTAGAGATGAGCATCACAGGGGTGGGAGACGGCTGGCTTTTCGTGACCCGAGGCTGAATCGGACCACGGCGGTCACCTCGAGTCAAGTGTCAGGGAGACGCCGTTTCCTAGAATCGGGCCCAGTTTTCCTTCTCCTGCCCAGGACAGGCAGTAATAGCTTCGCCACCCAGGGATGGGCATGCACTAGATTGGCCTGGCAGCCTATTCTCAGACTCAGACTGAAATGGAGAATGCACTCCACAAGACTCTTGGCTGAACCCAGCTTGTTGGCAATGCCTGATGCACACAAACGCCCCCTGTATTCAGCCTGCTGGACCTACACAGTAGACAGAAGAGTGTGTAAGCAGAGCTGTGGCCGTCTCTCAGTTCCTCCCTTGTTATGGTTTGTCCTGCTTGCTGATCGTGTGGAGGACGCAAGTGAAAGAGCTCTTTCTAGTCACTGACAGGTACTGCATTAAGTGCTCATTTAAGTTCCTGTTATCAAGTCCCAGGGCTGAGAGTCTTTATTGACCTCCAGCAGGATGACTCCTCGTACCCAGAAGAAATCATGCTAGTTTGGAAGAATTTCGTCAAAGGATAGAAATGACCAAAAACCGCGTCATATTTTCATTGGTAACACGGGATCACTGGAGCGAAGAGCCTGCATAATAAAAATGGAATCCGGAAATGCATAGTGGCCCAAAGGGTTATTAATAAGGTGCTGGATTACACAAGTCGAAAGTCGAAAAACTCAAGAGAGTTTTTTTTTCTCGAGACGCCCCGATGACCTGATTCATATTTTGGCATCTTGATAACTGAGCGAGAGCGGACCTGCGCACTCCCGGGATGGGAGACTTCTAAGGAAAAAAAAACAAACTATCCTGGCGGTCTGCCCTCTCATCCATTGCAGGAGAAATAGTTGCGAGGCCGCAGGGCAGGAGCCTGGTTTTCTAATTGTTGTTCTCGCCAGCGGGTATGTAGGTTCCGGGCAGGTTATAGATAAGATAAGGGGGAAACTAGTGGGATTAGTCGTGTTTTACATGCAGCAACAAATACATTTCTTTAACCTTCAGACCGGATTGTGCCTTAGGTGGCGTGGTTAACGTGAGGAATGATTCGGCACTCAGTTTGAAAACGGATCAAGCAAGTGCCTCTCGTACTTTAAAGGCTGTAGAGCTTACTCCGCTCGAGGAAGGCTGCACTGGTTTTTTCCACCTCATGTGCACTTGGCAGAGGGTGAAATGCTCCTTGTCTGGCGCTGGTAGATGTTTGTTGCGAGGGAGGCGAGTCGAGAAAAGCCCAGGCGAGGCAGAGGCGGCGGCGCGCTGCCCGGGGTGTTTCGAACTTGACCCAGCCGCGGTGCCCGGCTGTGACGTCACCACAGGTCCAGCCCGCAAAGCCGGTAATTGGCATTACGTCACTGCCGTGGCGGAACAAGTTGGGAGGTGACTCGTATTGTTGGTGCGAGTGCTCAGGAATGGTCAGACCGCCGTTCTTGACCTGTTCGACTCGGGGGCGAGTCTCCCTGTCAAGAGAGACAGAGCAAAAAAAAAAAAAAAAACGGGCCTTTTGGATGACGGAGCAAGGCGAGATTTAAAAACCCGTCAGCTGCTCCTCGCCTCCGCTCGCCGCCGCACCTGCGCTGCCTGTCCGGCAAGGTGACGGTACCAGACAGACTGGAAATACCAGTTTGTGAACCAGGAATGTTGCCTGTAAACAGACTTTGCTGAAGCAATAGCTAAGCTGACAGCTGACTCACCACGGTTCTTCCGTAGCGCTTATCATCTCAGACCTGAGGTCTCTCTTTCTCTCTTGTCCTTAGTGCTGTTTGGTTGTAAATATACACACGAAACCAGTTATTTATACGAAACATCCACGCTGTTGACGTATATTCCTGCACTAGATGTCCTGTATATGACACATCTGTCAGGCTTGTGTTCCAGCACCATTGGCCCTGAAGTGCTGAGTTCTCCGCACTCATTAATTTTACAACTTCATGCGCTCAGGATCAAATTCCCATAATCGGTATGAGAAAATGAGGTAGTCGGGTCGCCCCGCCTTGGTGCAGGACAGCTGTACTCTGTCTCCCTCTAGTGTTGAAATGGAGGATGTGCATACTTCCACCGAGTTGGAGAAAGGCGCACACGGCTTCTGCGTTTGTTTCATCGAGGTCTGGAGACAGCGTGCCTTCCGTGTGCTCATTTTCCAAAGTGAGTTCGCTCACCGAAAAGGCAGTTGCCACAACAGCGAAAGTTTGAACTCTCCTGCAGCCCGTTACACAAATCATATTGCTCGTAATATTGCAGTGAGAAGCACCTGTGACCTGTTTAAAAAAAAAGACCGTCTCACATCCCGTGGATACGGCGATAAAGCAAGGTGATTCAAAACCGATTCAAGGCACCCGAATGAGGGGGGGGGATTCTTGATCGATACCCGACAGCTCGGCAGGGACTAACTCAGGCGTGAGTGGGGGGATTGGTGAAAAAAGATAAGTTACTGTTACAGCTGGGGGGGTCAGTGTAGCTGAAAGCACGGTCCGGGAATTCACTACAGCTGCAAACATCTTACTGAAGAAAAAAAAAAATCATTTCCGTTGTGTGTTTTACAAATACCAAAAAAAAAAAAATGTCATATGCTCACATCTGAAAAAAAAAGGCAAGTTTCGTTGGTGTTAACAGAGTCTCTGTTCTTCTTCACAAAAGGAGGGTTGTTTTTCCAGCATCAAAGCGTGACCTTGCCGGTTTCTCCGTTTCCGCGTCTCTGCTGTTTAAACAAGAACGCCTGCAGATGTTTATAACCATTCCCCGTCTTTCCTTTTTTTTTTCCCCAGAACCAGTCAGCTCCCATTAGTAGCAGCCTGTCTGTTGTGTGAAGCCAGCCGGGTCCCCAGTGAGCCTTTCAGCCCTGCAGAGACAACCCCACGAGAAAGACGCGCTCGTCGTATTTCACGCCTTGGAACATGAGACACTATTGAAGAGATTTATTTTTTCGATTGGAAAAATTGGTTAGTGTTTTGTTTTTAAATGTAAAACAGTTTTATAGTTGCAGGCTCTAGTGAGAAATCTCTCACAGCGGGCGATTTTAAAGCAGTAGTGCAGTTTCACGGCTGGTATTTGTATTTGGAGAAAAGCAACCCTCAAAAAAAAAAATCTCCCCGGCTCTCACATTTTTATATCCTCCACTACAATAAAGCGATCTGTCCTCACTGCCAGAGGAGTGTGTCAGGTACAAAGACACCCACTGCCTTTCTGCCGATATCATGCCAGTGAGAACAGATGTAGGATGACTTCTCATTTTTAAACCGTAAACCAGGTAGACTGGCTGAAATGAGAGACTAAAATAGACTATAGAATCCAGTGCGTTGAACACCGGAGGCTGCAAAATTATGCACTGCCATGTGAGTTCCAATGCCTTGAGAGGAGTAGTATTTTCGAACTAGGGTAATTTTTACAAATCATTTTTAATACTTTTATGATTTGATATTTTTATGAGACGGTGAAAATTAGTCCCAACGGCGGAGCTGCGTCAGGGAAGTTGCTCCTACGGGACACACATACTGCACTGAGCAGCACTTTTCCATGGGTGTCGAAGAGAACATCGACGCCTTCCGAACCCCCTAACGACAAGAGGGCGCCCTCTGCTGTCCGGACACGAAAGTGCACTCTTACACAGCCTCTACACTCACAGTGCAAACCTATCTGTATCCGAACCTGCAGAGGGGCCTGTCCTTTACAGAACACATGTAATAAATAATGCGTTGCATGTAAAAATGTATTATTTAATGAAACCAGGCAGAAAGAGCACGGAAGAATTACATAGAGTATGTGCACTACGTGTTGCTTTTTCGCATGCATCTTCCCCTGTGTGGATTTGTTGTATTGTGCAATCTGTACTGCCGTTAAATACCTTTTGTGGTAATACTGAAGTTTAGACTTTCTAACTTTCAATCTCTCATTTTTGCTACCAATTTAAATACACTAATAAAACACTGGCCTTGTGATCTAAAGAGTTGATGTTAATGTGCTTATTTTAACCTGCGTAGCCCAAACCCCATCTCAGACCCCTTTACAACCGATGTTCTTGAAAATGTGAACGAGTTATTGCTCGCTCAGGGCCCAGACAATCCTGACCCTGCCCTGGAAGCCGAGAGCACAGAGCAGGACCCCAGTCTTGCTTCAACTGCTGCCACAGAACAAGAAAGCAGCCTCCCCTCTCTTCCGAAACCGCTGCCCTGTTTCTCCCGCGCGATTTCCCCAACCCCCTGAAAATCCACAGCAAGCAGAAACGGGTTTTGTGTCTGGTACGTTTATTTAAGCTTACTGTAAAAATTCAAGTTCCCTTAATTTAACCTGTCTGTACAAGACATAAAATCTATCAGATCATAGTGTGAATAAATACAAACATTTGATCATGTAAACAAACTGCTGAACAGCAGATCAAACAATCTGTGAACAACACTGATTCTATTAATAATATATACTGATCCCTATTAATATATAAATACAGTACATCTCTCTCCAGTATTTAAAACAATATTCAGGCATTTTCAACCTAAACAAAGTGTTTTTCCCTGTGTGTATATATAAATACACTGACACACGCATGCACTTAAACATTCTTAATGACAATTATCTAAAGTGCAAAGAGCTTAAATACTTAAAACAAAAAAACGTCCTAAAAAAGATACTCTCCGAGGAGGCTGGTCCAGGGCGGCGGTCAGCGGGCGTGGCCCCAGCAGGCCTGTCCCCCTCGAGGCCCGGCCAGGGCCCAGCGCCCCCCGTGAGACGGCCAGGCCCCCCTGCCCGGGGTTGGGCAGCCGGGCCGCGGCCGAGGGAAGCTCTGGCCTTCGAACGGGCTGCCCCCCCTCCTGGGCAGGGGGCGCCAGGCCGGCGCCGGCTGGCACAGGAAGTTGGGCACCTGCAAAACAGGCAAGGCGTCGTTCAGCAGGTGGGCAGGAGGGGCACGCCAACTAGCCTGCGGGGTGGGGGGGGGGCCCCAACTCCTCCACCCCTTAAATCATCGCACCCGCGACAGAGCAAAACTAAGGGCTCAATTCAAACTCCTTCTAGGCTCCTACACACGTTTCCAGAGCAACCTCCAACCTCCGGCCTCTGCACACAGGCTGGGACCCGCAAAGCCTCCAGCCCAGCAGCCTGTCGGCTCAGTGGCAGGGAAACAGCGCTGCAGCTCCCTTATTCTGGGGTGAGAAAGAGTCAGCGTCGATGAGTGCGTTTCAGACCCCAGGGACAGCGAAATGGACACAGTAACTCGTAAAACCCCCCCATTTACATCACGAAATAGAAGAGCTGTCCGGGTGTGCGCAGTGCCGTGTTCTGCGATTCAGAACGAGGCAACAAAACTTGCGCTGCGGCATTATGACTCTATAAGCGAGCAGGCCTGTGAATACATCTCTTTTAATCCAACAGACATATTGCTCTCGATTTCGAGAGGGTTTTGCTGACAAATACTACTTGTTAACTGTGCGTGCAGATCACGCTGGGACATTTCTGCGGTGAAATGCCTGCAGCTCGACCTGTATTTTGTGTACATCACATTACTTTAGTCATTACAGTGACTAGAGGTGGACCTGGCTGGACTGGCGCAGCCCGTCTCCAACGTGTTCAAGATGGACCTTAAAAGTTACTGGGGACGAATGACTTAGGTTAAAAAGTACTCAGTGACAGTGTTGACAAAGGACTGGGGTCCTGTCTGGTGTGTACCCTGCTTGTCCCGCTGCCTGCTGGCAGACCCCGGGTCTAGAAAGCTAGAAAAGGGACGGGCGAGCGGACAAGTGGACAGGAGGGTGGACACACAAGCTGGACCCAGCGGTACCTGGTAGACTGGGCGGAGGAGGGGGAAGGGAGGCGCCGGTGGGGCGTCTCTGCTGCTGCTGTCTTCGTCCGAGGAAGAGCCCGAGTGGTAGTCGGACGTCACCCTCTCCACCGCGCTCGCCACCGTCCGGGCCACGTCCTTCCTCGCGTCCTCCTCGCCCGCGCCGGAGAAGGTCGCCACGGTGAAGGCGTGGCTCTTCTCCCCGAACCTGCGGAGCAGGAAGGTGTCGTCACACATCGGCGCCGAGAGAAACAGCTGCAGACACAACGGGCAGGAGAGGGGAGGGGGGAGAGGGGAGAGGAGAGCAGGGGGGAGAGTGAGAGGAGGTGGAGAAGGGAGAAGAGGGGAGGTGAGGTGAAGGGAGGAGAGAGAGGGAAGAGAGGAGAGGTGAGGTGAAGGGAGTAGAGGGGAGGGGAAAGAGGAGAGGTGAGGTGAAGGGAGGAGAGAAAGGGGAGAGAGGTGAGGTGAGGTGAAGGGAGGGGAGAAAGGGGAGAGAGGTGAGGTGAGGTGAAGGGAGGGGAGGTGAAGGGAGGAGAGAGAGGGGAGAGGGGAGGGGAGGTGAAGGGAGAAGAGAGGGGAGGGAGGAGAGAGAGAGAGGGGAGGGGAGGTGAAGGGAGGAGAGGGGAGGGCGCGTGCCAGCTCACCTGCAGCAGACCTCCCCAGGGTCCACCCACAGGGTGAGCTCCCTCGGCAGCCCCAGGTCCCTGTAGTGCACCCCAGTCTCCCAGCAGGCTCGCTGCAGCTCGGGCTCCGGCTGACACCTGCTCACCCGCAGACACCTGCCGGGGCAAGAGCACAGGACCCGTGACTCCTCCCGCCGGACAGGAAAGACCGGGAACACGGCTGGCGGAGCAGGGGGCACGATCCCTCGCGTTTCCGACACGCACAAGGACGGGATCAGAAGTCCCCCTCTTGTCAGGAAGCGGCACCTTTCCTGTTCCGTGTCAATTCCTTGTGATTAACCTGGCGCCGCTCCTCCATACCAGACCACTGTTGTCCTTCGGTGTTGTTTTCCCCCCTTCTTCGAGCTTTGAGGAAAACCTCCGGACCGGCTACAAACAAACACCCACCGAATAAAAAACAAATTCAACAGCTCTGGAGCTCCGGTCTCTCACGGCGGCGGGGAGAACGTCATGGTCTTGAAGAGAGAAAGTTGATCACGTCTTTATTTTTCGGAACCCGCCCCCGATCTCTTTATCCGCGAGATCTTTTCAAAGCACGTGGAACACAGACTCCTCACGGCGGGCAGGAACGGGGACAGCTGAGCTCAGACGAGGTGCCAACGGACAACAACCCAATAAACAGCTTCCGGTGGTCCATGAAACTGAGCCAATGGGCACACAGTCATGGGTTGTTATTCGCGACTTAAAGCCCAGCAACAAAAGCAAGTTACAAAGATTTCTACGACATTCTTACCGACTTCATACACGTACAGATATCTCACATTCAATTTGCATGTTTGTGGATCAAAATCCTGTGTGATCTGGGTGTATAAGTGTTGTCAGAGATTCTGTCCTGCAGCCCTCCGCCCCCGGCCCACGCGATCTCCCAGAGCCCCGCCCGCCTGCCGCACCTGTAGGCCTGGCCCCTGCTGGGATTATCGGGGTACCAGTGGCCTCGGTACTTCTCCTGCAGGGCCTCGGTCAGGCGCCCCGCCAGCTCCTCCACCTTCTCCTTCTCCAGCTTCTCCGCCTTCCGGATCAGCCGGGTCAGGAACAAGACGGCCGCCGCGACCTCTCTCTTCATCGTCGTCGTCCGCTGCTCTGGAGCCGAGACCCGCCTCCTGCAGGGTGGGGGGGGGAGGGCAAAGATCAGTGGGCATCCCACCACCGGCAGCAGTGAACCCCTCCTGCCAACACACAGCCCGAGGGGCAGACGGGGCGCCCCTCGCAGCGCCACGCTGGAAGGCCCCAAGCGGTGACTGCTGCCACTCTGGACAGCGGTCAGGACTGGACAGCACTGGCCCCCGAGAACTCCAGGGATTTTCTGGGCTTCCTCCTGCTGTCCGCAGACCAGCTGGGAGGTCGACTGGCCCTGGTGGGAGCGTGTGCGTGTCTTTGCCCGTGTGCCTGCCCCGCGCTGGACTGGCGTCCTACCCAGGGCGTACCCTGCCTCGCGCCCGCTGCTTGCTGGGATAGGCCCCAGCCCCTGGACGGGACAAAGCGGTTAGGAAATCGACGAAGAGTCTCTAAGAGACCGGAGCTCACAGAGCACCTGCGGAGGTCCTGGATGCACGGCTGTTCCCGAGCGATCAGGAAGTGGCGGTTAAGGGGAGACTCGCGCCCACCCTGCTGGACTGGGGTAAGGAAAGACGAGACAGCAGCGCCAACCCAAGCACCCCCAAAGCTGCGTTGAGGTGTGGCACATCCACAGCAGTGGGTCTCGAGGGGTGTGCGGTGGTACAGTGCCTCTCAGGGGTCAGCCAGGAAATTCTGGCTCCCAGAAGTCAGTCCTGTGGTCAGCCCAGGATGCTGCCTTCATTCCCAGAACGCACCTGTTCGCTCTGGTCCGGACTGACGCCAGAGCAGCAGGATCTGTCCCAGACACACGTCCTGCTCGATCATTATGGTCCGGCCCCGCTTCTGCAGGACAGGTGTGGCCGCAGGAGAAAATGGTAAAAGTGTCCCAATCAAGCCAATAACAAGCGGATTTAGGTTATTATGAGCCGGGCTAGGCTGAGAAGCTGCAGACACTCCAGCGTTCGAGTTCTCTGGACGAGTCCCGTCTGCACCTTGGGTTACAGAAACCAGAATCCTTCTGGAAAGCCCATGATCTTATAGACCCTGTGTTTCCTTCCATGACCTGCCACACACAAGCTCGTGCAGCACTCAAAAGCATGGCGCAAGACGTCAAAGCTGTGCTGATGACAGTTTCGTTTCTTTCAGAAACTTCTTGTGTACATTCAAAAGTTACCAAGCAGCCAACTGTTGATGAAATTTAGGCTTACCATCACCAACCGGCACTTTTCCTTTAACTTCTCAAGTCAATAAAAATAACAAAAATCTCTGGGCGATTTGAGCGTAACTACATACAAGTCAAACTCTAACAGAAGCTTCTGCATCGTAAGCTCGTTCAAATGACCAGCGTTCTCCTCTCACAGGCAAAGGACTTGACTTATCGGCCAGTTCTTTCTCGGGTGTTACACCCAGCCCTGCGCCTACTCCTCTCATGAGCTTAAACGCAGAAAGGTTGCTCATTTCTTGATGTATGTGGCCAGCGGCGCCCGTTCCTCGTTTTTCTTCCGCCTTCTTCGCTCGCACACATGAGGAGTTGCACACACGTGTCCCCCATGTGCTCTGGACCTCGTAAATACTCCACACTGCCCGGCAGTACTGACCGGAAGCGAACGGGCTGCTTGGAAGTGACTCACGAGAATTCCCCTGCGCTGCAAACGCTGTCAAGAGTTTCTCCCTACAAGGAAGGAAAGCAGTCAAGATGAACTTCCTGCCTGCAAACTGACCGCTGTCCCACCTGGCTCAGCACGACGCGAATTCCACGCAGCGATCCAGGGGACACCATCTCGTTTTCCTGCTCAGTAGCGTTCAGCGGAAAAGTAGTGGGATTTGTTTTGTTTTTGTTTGTTTTTTTTACTCCGTGATCTCTAATTTGGGAAAATGCGAATATTTCAGCACGAATATGAAATCCCCCGTTGCACGCCGCACGGAGGAGGAGGGAGATGTGTTCTCTGGTAACTCGGTGCCGAGTCCGTGTCCGAGTCCCGGCGGGCAGCCGGAGAGACCAAGACTTGCAGGAAAAAGCAAACAATAGAGGAAAAACACTCCTCCGCTCAAAGGAAGGCGTGCTAACGAGATGTAGCGCTGCCCCCGGCACTGACAGGTGGTCCCGTCCCGCCCGGCGGGATAATCCCCGGGATCCCGGCCCGTCCTCTCCTGGCGCCCCGGTTTCACGGGGTGAGGAAACACCAACCGGCAATGCCCCACGTTTGCCGTGTTTTTTATATTCGACCGCCACAAGCGGGTTTAAATTACTCCCGGCTGGAGGAGTCCAAGAGAGCGGCGGGGTTTTTTCTTAACCGTTCACTAAGAAAAGTCTCTTTTTTAAAAAAATAAAATGGCATTGCAATTAAAAAACAAACAAACCGTTGACCGCTTTTAATTGTAAAATGACAAACCTCCCCCATCGTTATTAACGAAAGGCACCAGAACAGGAAACACGTTTTTTTTTCCATCCCCTTTGCTCAAAAACTAAAGATGCGCCCTCTGATCGTGCCTTCTTTTCTTTTTCTAAAAAAAAACACCCCTTCTACACCTCACTTTTTTTCCGGAGGCTTTAGACGGCCCGGATGGCGATTAATTCGTGTTTTGTACTTACTGTGCCCAGCACACGAACTCCGGCCGCTTCCAGCCGCGCGGGACCCTGTTTGTGTTCACAATGCCCGCGTGCACAGGGCTTTCCCGGCCGGGCTTCGGGGCCGTGACGTCACCCGGCGGGGGCTGGGTCTCAGGCGAAGAGGTTGCCTCGGCAACGCGTCACCTCAATCCCAACACCCCGTCTCAGTTTAATTTTTTATTGTTGTTGTTGTTGTTGTTGTTGTTGTTCTTGAGGTTGATTTTATTCTGTTTATGTGTATTACATCTTCCCCGTGGGGCTACCAGCCGTTTGCCATTAAAAAAACCCAACTAATACGTATTTTTAATCACCAGACAAAGTAGAAATGACTTGAGACGTGCGCACATTATGAGCACCTGTTGATACTCGTCTCTCTGTACTTTAGACATTTAACGCATCGTGAATGCGTAATTTATCGATTTTACGTGTCTAAAGATAATCCCGTGAGTCTGAAGTATTCTGTTTATACTTTCATGCATTTTGATAAGTTAACGAGCGTGAGATATATTCAAAGTCGTTTCCCCTGCGTCGTTAAATTAATATAACCAGTAGGCCAGGGTCAGTGGCCTGCCTTCCCCAATTTTGAGATAGGAATTTCGTTCGTTAACTTTATTTTTACTCTGTCTTGCAGTATTAGCCTTAACGCTTCTTACTGGAAAGAAGAGCTGTTTTTTTCTTGGTTGAAGGCTGCAAACTAACTCCTCGTTAATTCCTGGAACTGTTCATATCTAAGCCCGCCTGTATGGCACTTGTTATTACTAAAAAGGGATCTAATTAAATAAGCGACAAGATATTTGAAGATAGAGATGGATTACTAAAACTTTGTTTTAAATAAGACGCGCTGCTCCTCGCCTCTAAAGAAGGGTATCCAGTACACCACATCTGTACCGTGATAACCAGAATAAAGATCATTAAAACTAGCCGTTAACATTATCTATATGTAAGATTTGTCAAGGAAGCGGTGAGCAAAAATTACAACTGTGTCACGAATACTCACGGTTTCCTGACACTTTTATCCAAAAGTACGGTAACTGTACTTTTATACTGAGGAATATTGTGTTACAGCGGGCGGCCTGGATGTTGAATACGAGGACAATACACGCTTCGTCTCGGGTTTCTATATAGCAGGGGGAGGAGGTACAACATGTTCATGATTTGCGTGACAATCTCTAACCAAATTGTACCACAAAGGCTGTCTGATTTCCGGAAAAAGTGCCCATACCAACATTCCCACTGGAGCCATCAATGGGCATAGACGGAGCGTGGAAGGACTCGAAGGAACAAGTCTGGAATTAAGGGATACATAATTATTCCCATTACACTTTATTACGAGCAAACACCAGTATACGACTAAGTGAAATAATGACACGCCCGCTTAATTACACTGAATTGAGAACAAATGACAATGAAGTGTGAAATGGGCCGTGATGCATAGGACCTGAGGGACATATTTTCAGCAATCCATTTTGACAGGAAATAGGGATTAGATAAGCAACTGCATTTTGCACACCCGCTGTCTCTTAAAAGGACAGATAATCGGATCTATATCAGATAATATAGCCAGCAGCCATATCACCCTGCAACTCACTGGAGCTCAGCAGATGTGATCCTTGTCAGTACCTGGGTGGATGGGGCATCAGTTAGGCCAGTAGGGGGCGCTCACCCTGTGGTCTGGGTCTGTGTGGGTCCTAGTGCCCCGGGGACACTATACTTTAAAAAGTACCGTAAAACCGACGTCCTTACTCTCTGTGGTCATTAAAAATCCCAGGGCTTTTCTCGAACAGAGCGAAATACCGGGGTCCTGGCCAAATTCCCCCCTGCCCTTAACAGTCATGGTCTCCTAATAATCCCCATCTATGAACTGGCTTCATCGCTGGCTCTCCTCCCCACTGGGAGCTGGTGTGTGGGGAGTGTACTGGTGGATCATCCAGGTGGGGCTGCACACTGGTGCAGGTGGAGGGCAGTCCCCATTACCTGTAAAGCGCTTTGAGTGGAGTGTCCACACAAGCGCTCATTAGAATGGGTATTTATTATTATAAAATACGAGGAAACGAATAGTGGAAGGTTGAACGGATGGTAGCGTAACTATTTCACCACTAGAGGGCTCAACTCACCTTTCCCATAAATAAATACAACACACGACGACAAAACTGTAGGAAAATACTTTATTTTATTTTTTTTTTGGTAAAAATACAAAACATCACCGCAGCACAATAATTCAACACAGGCAGTAAATTCAATAGACAATTATTGCAAATTTAACTTCATGGTTGCAAGGCAAAGTGTAACCCGGCAGGCTACAGAAATTACGTGGAGTGTAAAGAAAATGAAAACGCCGCTTCTGTGAAGCTGGAGAGCTGACGGACTGAACAGGGGTCTCTTTTAAGGCAGCTCACTAGTGCATTGAAAAGGTTTCCTAAACGCCAAGTGGGAGTTCCACTTTTTATCCGACACCTTAGGCTCTGGGCCTCGTATCTAAAATGGGTTGAAAGATATCTGGGATACCGCGCCCTGGTTTTTAGGAAATCTAGAAACCAAGCCTGGATGAGGGTTCAAAAATCATCACAGATTCGCATTCGTATCGTATCTGCGCGACAAATGATCACGCATCCCACAGCTCCGGGGAAATCGCTCTGCTGAGACGCATCGCACCTCACAACGACTTGGGTTTAAAAACAAAAATAACATGCCAAGAGATCGTTTAGTGTGCCACGTTTTGACCGGACAGAAGAAAGGCAGTGAGAAAATCCCAAGAACCAAAAACTCAATTTCCTACGAGAAGTGTTCAGCAGCAGAAGGCGGACAAACACAACGCACACAAAGTCACACACTAGTCATTAAACTGGAATCGGTTTTTTTCCCCATATCCACACCCCAGCAGGGTCAAACAAACGTGCCGAATTCTCTTATAAAGAGAGAAGCGAACCTCCAGCAATACACGGATAATTTTTACTTCGTTCCTGCTCATTCACGTCCCAAATTAAAAGGCATGCGATTTCATTTCGTTACGATGTCTGAATGCAGGTTTAAAAATAGTCAACATCTTTTCTTCCCCCTTCTGGATAAATTAATGGGGATTTGCCCAAGTGGGACGTCTGTGTTTATTCTCAGTGACTTTGAAGATCTCGACTGTACCGAAAAGGCAACCAGCTCTTAATGAACAGTTCCTCCGGCCGGAACATGAGCCTACGCAGCGGACTGAACATCTGCGCCGGGGACAGTTTCTGTCCAGACGCACGTCTCACACACAGAAAAAACAAAAGCCTAAACTGTAGAAACGAACCACAAGAAGAAAAAATTCACACACACAAAAAAAACAGTCATCTAAACACACTAAACAAATGCCGTAATAAAAAAAACCCCATAAATAAACAAAAGGAAGCAGTCACAAAGTCCTCACTTCCACTAGCCATGTGGAGTGACACAAGAAAATCTTATACAGCAACATACAAGTCAGTAACGACTACAGCGAGAACATATTTAACCCTTAACTGTACAAAAAATTACATTGGTAAAAAAAGTCACTCTTCAATAATACTTGTATTAACATTTTACATTCTGGTGGTTGTGCATTGTTTGGTTGGTTTGCTATATTTACCCTTTATGCAAAGAGCAGAAATGGATGAAGACCTTAGCTGCCCCTCATAATTGCAGGCTACTACTACTGAACGTAAAATGCAAATTCAGCTCTGGTACAAAGGCTTTGGTCTGTTTGTGGATAATTAAGAGTAACTGCAATCCAGATCTCTTTCTCATGAGACTTGAGGCCAGAGCGAAGAGCATCCCCTGTAAACATTTAAAAACGACTCTCTGAAAGCACCGGTTTCATCAATGTTCACTTTCTGTCCCGACTGAGCTCATATCTGAAACCTGCACATGTTGAAGTTGTACACTAAGCCGTAATTGTTTTTACTCCGTGCGGGTGCGGCGTACACCTGCTCCGTTTCTAGCAGAAATTTTATGTCATTGCTGGCTACAGCTGCTGCCATCTTCAAAAAAAAGCTCATATCTGAAATGTGCCTTCGCTGCCTCCCTGCCTGAAAACTACTTTTTTTGTTTTTCGTTTTCAGATGCAGCAGACTGTTCATGTGGCCCAGTGCATGAACGAGTCCCCCCCCAGCCCACACATGTTTTTATTACCACTGCCAGTGACAATAGAAAAGGGGCTCTAGATAAAATTGCTCAATTGTGCAATGCAGCGGATAGCCTGGTGGTATCCATGACATATTAACTGTTATTGACGCGTTCTGCACACAGTAACTTGTCTGAGACATGAGAATTTGAGCTTTTGAAGTAGGTTGTATAGGACCTGAACATTTATGATGTCTTTATTCTGTGCTACTGCCGTTCATAGCTCTACTAAAATGTTCTTAATGCTAGGTAGCTTGAAATAACCAGTAAAATAACTTGGTAGCTCCACTCACCACCCCATGCGCAACAGATCGCCGTGACAGAAAATCCCACCTATCTCGCTTTCAGGTGAAAAAGTGCATCACCTGGAATTCCACAGGACCAAATGTGCGTATTTATCTTGGAAAACAGCTGTGGATCTGTCCTGCACTGACAAATCAATCCATCCTGAAATCCTTAAGCAAACAAGGTACTTTAACACTATGAAACACACTTTAGATAAGATTCTCAGAACTAAAAGGCTCAAATAAAAAAATTTAAAATGTCAATCTGAAAAGGGGGCAGACTGAAGACATTTCGATTAGCTGTTTGCTTTTAAATTATTAAAGTCATGTTCTGCAGTGCGATGTCAACTTGGACCACACTGGAAGTTAAAAAAAGGAGGATGTATGGACTGTTATAGGTCATTCATGTCACACGGTTGAAGAAACAATTTGCACAAAATTTCTGCTTTTTAAAACACACTGGAAAAATTAAAGATTTGGGGCAGGCCCTCTCCATTATTAACAGAAATGATTTAAATAAATAACCAAAAGTCATACACTCAAGTCATTTTTTTCAAAAACACTGCTTATAGTTTTTATAAGATTCTTAAAAATCCCGTCTTACGTTTATTTGACTTTTTTTTTTACAAACCCTGAACCATTCCCGGTTCTGCATAGATCATGGGAGACCATCCGGCTCGCGGCTTCGCAGAACGGCGCGAGGGGTCGGACCCGCTGGGCTACCGGCCAGCTCGGTCCGCGTCCGTCCCACTGCCGCCTTCGGGTGCCGTGACGCCTGTCCAGCAGTGCATCACTATCCCAGAGCCCCAAGGCCACCGCAGCACAGCAGAGCGAAACACACACCCAACACCTGGGGGAGCTCGAGTCGATCCGCTTGTCGAAAAACACCTGTTCCGTCTCAGACTCTTAAGCCCCCTTTTTCGTAAAAAAAAAAAAAAGTCTCATGCTTCATTCAGGAGAGAGTGCCCCAGGCAGCCCCAGCGCTTCGTCCTGAGTTTTGGCAGTGTTACTTAGGAGGCCGCCTGAAAAACCCCTCCGAGTTGCAATTGGGGTCCTCCAATGGCGTGAAGCCCATTTCCAAAGCCCCCCAGTCTGTTCAGGTCGCGATTTTTAAACATCGTCACGGGGCAGCAGGTGGGAGGGGCTGGAGGAGACGGGCGTTCTCCGCGTGGCTCCGCCCCCTCCTCGGGAAACGCGGGTCCGGGCGCTCACTCCACGGGCGCGCTGCTGGGCTTCGCCCCCGCTCTCCCGATCTGGAGCCAGGGCAGCTTGGCGCAGTTCTTGAAGAGCTGCTCGATGGCGATGTGTCTGACGTGCAGCTCCGAGGCCAGCGAGTCCTTCTCCTGGACCGCCACCGTCAGCTCCTCGAACACGGCTGTAGAACGAAGACACACAGCACAGCAGCCCCATGAGTCACGCCATCCCAGACTCGGCAGGCCACACACCAGCCCTGGGCCACGTGCCCAAGACCGCACAGCAGTTTGTCGGTCGACTCGTCCTGTCTGAAATCCTCTCCATTCAATGACAGAATTCTCTAATGTGCTCTGCATGGGAAGGCGATATACAAGAATAACGACTGAATGAATGGCTGAGTGATACAGATCTCAGCTTTACACACCTTTCCTCCCAATTTGCCTTTTGTTTGCCTACTCTTTCTCACCAGTGTGCCAGTTCTCTCCTATTCTGTGCTTGTTACCCTGCTACCCTTCCTCTCTCCCTCACATCTCACAGCTGCTCTATACCCGAAACATTACATTTCTTTCCAACGTATATTTAACCCATTCTAGTTTCCTTGCAGCCCTCTTACACTGACACAGCTCCCCACTCAATCCTCTCCGTCTTTTTAGTGCATGTTTGACCAAGATGAAATTAAAAGGATGCGTGTTAACAGTCAAACAGTTAACAGAAGAGCTCCTGTGTCTTTATTAGGCTGTGTGACCTGATGAACATTTGGTCTCCGAGGAGAAAAATGCAATAGTGACTGATCAGAATGCGCATAAATCTCCCCAAATACGTACGTTACTTCAAAAAAGGAGGACATCAAATGAAGTTCTTCAAAATACGATGTGTAAGTGTATAATTTACATATTTATTGTTGTCGCCATGTAGATTAATGCATTTGTGCATGTGCAATTTAAAACAACCTTACTTTGTTTTAGAAGCAATATGGGGCAAATTTAACTTGGTGGTAAATTCTGTCTAGAAAAAAAAAACTAACGCCTTTTAGAAAAAGTAGAATTACCGATTTTCATTTTTATCGTTAACCCCACGACTGCACACTGGGTAGAATGAGGAAGTGGAGCAGCCTCCTCCAATCTACCTGCCTTCCAGCCAATCACATCATAACACGTCACAGACGGCAACGCCCCCAGGCAGGAGGATCAGTGCCAATTGGAGGAGAGGTGGCGACAACCCCCCTTTTAAGGTTAAACTCTATAAAAAAAATCACAGGAAAAGTTCATTTCTTACCTCGAACCCGCACAAGGAACTTCTCTTTCAGCTCTCTCAGCTCTTCAACGGTCATTCTTGACACTGCAAAAGAATGAGGAAAGTTACAGCTGCAAAAAGAACTACAACAGTGTATTTATATTGCTTTAACTTCTGGTTGATATTGCCCCAATAATTAGGAAAGTCACAGCACGAGAACAAATATGCAAGTTTACACAGAGGTTCTCTTATAGTGGACCACTGACTGTCCCAAAGTTGATTTTTTTACCATAAAAAAACTGCTTAAGTGGTAAATTAACCCAGTGGACTGTCAAGTAAATAAGTTGTTGATTGCTACGAAATACAGTGGTGAAGCTTGTTCCAAGGACAGGGGGTGATGTAGTGATACCCAGCGTGTTGAAAGCAGAACATCAAGATTCTTTCCATGTTGAATGACATGTAATTTGGTACCTGTCCCTCGTACTCTACTTGGAGCTACTTTTTTTAATGAGATAAAATATTAATTTGAAAAGAATAACCCCCTTTCATTCCTGTGCATTTGCATAGAAACGCTCAGTATGAAACCTGGCAACTTGAAGGCCATTTGCAAGTAAAATTGCCTTCATCATAACTGGAAAAATACTTCAAACGGTTAAAAGGGCTATTTTAAGCCACAAAATACAGCCCTGACGACAGAAGTTTAGTCCAAGGACACCTCCTGCGTCAACGGAGGCATGAGCCTTTTCTCTGCAGGGGAACGGTGTCGCAGGGACAAGAGAGGAGACGCGGAGACAGCAGGGCAGCTGCGTCACAGCTGTCTGCCACAAAGATCTGGCTTTGTCCAGGCTGGGAGGTGGAAGAGAAAAATCTCGGGAAAACAAAACCCTCCCCGCAGCAGAGGAATCTGAGAGCAGAATCAAGCCCCTTCCCTCCCTGTAGTGGAGAGGCATACTGCCCACAGCGTAACACGCTGTTTGAGATCGGACGGGGTGGGAAGCTGTCCGATCTCAAACACACCCCTCCATCTTCTGCTCCCTTTTCAGAGAGAGAGAGCCAGGGGCACAGTACAATGACACGAATCTGGGCAGACACGTGGCTTTTCATCCCCATCCCTCCTTGTAAGGGGTGCCTGGAGTGATGGAGTGCTGATGGACCAGTAGGGGGCCCTCACCCTTCAGTCTGTTACTATAGTACCCCATTACTATAGTCTAATGCCCCAGTATAGTAATGGGGACACTATTATAATACAGTAAAAAAAAAAAGCTCTGTCCTTCGGGTGAGCCTCCAAAAACGAGTACCTCGGTGTCCTGGCCAAGTTTCCCCCTGCCCTTTACCAATCATGGCCTCCTAATAATCCCCATCTCTGAAATGGCTTAATCACTCTGTTCTCCTCCCCACTGGTAGCTGGTGTTTGGTGAGCGGTGAGCGGTGAGCGTACTAGTGCACTTTGGAGGTCCTCACATCATCCAAGTGGGGCTACACATTGGTGGCGGTAGAGGGGAGTCCCTATTAGCTAGATACGGCTTTAAGTGGAGTATCCAGAAAAGTGCTATATACGTGTAAGGAATTATTAATGATTAATCACACCTATACAGCCTCAGCAGAAACTCTACTGGCCCTACTCAGCTCCCTGTTCTTGCCCCTCCTTGCATGAATTAAGGTGATAAGTAGATCAGAAAGAGCCCACTCACACTCCTCCCGGCTGTGGAACTCGTGCCTGCACTGCGCCGTGTCCTGGCTCTCTCCGGACGCCTGCTCCGCCCGACGAGGGGCCCGCCCCCCGCCGGCCCACAGCAGGCTCTCAGAACAGAACGAGCCGTCGCCGCCGTGTCCCAGCATGCTCAGCCCCAGCTCCCCCGCGGAGGGGCACGCCAGCATGCCCTTGGCGCAGGCCGGCAGCGCCGCGCCCGTGCCCTCGGCCCAGCGCGGCGCGTAGCGGGGGACCTGAGAGTCCGCCTGGGGCACCAGCTTGTGGTCCCCTTGCGGGTTGTAGCACAGCAACTCGTGCTGGGACCCCTGCAGCCCGGAGTCCGACACCGCCTCCTTGTTCTGAGCGTACTGCACAATGCGGCTGAATTTTTGGCTCAAGGCGTTCTTCACCCCCTCGTAGGTGCTGCGGGACGCTTTGGTTCGGTTCAGTTTCTGGTTGGCTATGCGGTGGTACTTCTCGAAGCAGTCCCTGTGGCCCCGCAGGGACTTCGAGTGCAGAAGACTGGAACTGGGGACACCTGAAATCGAGAGAGACACGTCGCGTCACTGACAAAAGAGGCGCTGCCTTCTCGATGAGCAAAGAGTGCAGCTGAACGACCCCAGCTTCCCCCCATTTCTTGATATGGCATTTATTAAAACCGAATCGACTCCAACTGCGAAAGCCAACACAGGAGTTAAAGTTTATAATCGTGTTTGGGATAAAAATATCGAAGCAGATATAATGCTAAAAGGAAGTCCGGCTTATAAGACACGCACTGCCGTGGTTAAATCAGCCTGGCGCGAGACAGATCAGCATTCAAAGAGGGAGGAAGACAAAGACGATACCTAGCGCAGGATTCAGGTACAGACAGCACACCTGCCCTTGGGCTCTGGGAGTGACTGACAAGTTCTCGTTTGCTTTGTCTTAAATGAGACATTTTTGAAAACCCAAGAGCTTGACTGGGGCCGTGACTGGTGTATGAAATGCCCTTACAAGTGTCTGTTTCAGGACAGAGCCCACTTTTCTCTCCAGATGGCCGTCCATTAAAAAACCTACCACACTGGGAGTTCCTGCATCCCTACACTACCATCTCAAAAGACTTACTGCACAGAAAAGCACCAAAAGCTGTGCAGAAAAACACCAATACCTGCTCAGAAAAACCACCCCCTTGCACACTTGGCCCCATCTCGACAGCCAGTGCCAGCTACATTCTCACACTTTATTCTATTTTTCCTCAACGGTGCAAGTAATATTTCAAGACACAGAAGAAAACAGCATGCAAACACAAATCACCCTGCCCTGAACACAGTACTTGATTATTTAGCTTTTGGGATTTTTGACCGAGAAATGTCAAATGACCAAGTGCAGTGAGTCCTGCCAGTGGAACAGGATTATATTGACATCTGGTGTCTTCAGGAAGCGACACCTGGTTTATAATTGAGGGCCACCGCTGCTCTCTTTGGCATTTTTATGGTTTCTGTTCTGCGCCTATAGAGACAACGACTGAGCGCTTGCTATGCAAAGTTATTCAAATGAATCCAACGGAAACTCTTGAGCGGCACCACAATATTATTGACTACATTAAAATAACAACAAGCACAAAAGCAGCATAAAAAATGTGCATAGCTAGGATAAAACAAATTTAAAAATGCACACGAAGGAGAACTTTCAGTCCACCTAATTGGAATGTCTATTTTCATCATGGATTACCCACCTAAGACTGAATAGCTTTGTTTTCACAGTCATCGCCTAGCTCAGTAAGCTGATCGCTGCTAAGGCTAAAGAAATGGACTTAATTTTTGTGCAAAACACCTGGCACTTTGAAAACAGGACCTTTGCGCTGTTACATAAAGGAAAGGCTAGGAATGTCTTTTGTTCTTCTCAGAAACCATTGTTACCACCCCCTTCATCAACGTCTTTGCCTAAAAATAAGGGAAACAGGAAAATCCCCTATGCTGTGCCAGTAAATATGTCTGAGCATGTGATCTACTGAGCCTGCCTAAACGCTTTGCATTTCCTCACCTGCACTCCAGTGCTTTCAGGTAACTGCGATTAAACAACCCCTTGCATCTACAAAAAACCCTCCGGTAACTGCTGTAAAAAAAAAAAAACACTTCATCTGCCCTTCCTGGTTCAAGTAAGTACCCATGATGTAAACGAGTTAAAAGTGGAGAAAAACTTTCCAGAGTCGATGAAGACAAGCAGGGCCTTGACACTTGAGCAGCAGCACAGAATCGTCACATTACATGAAGCCGTGCACTTCTGGAGTTTGAGGCAGCACTCATCTCATGCCTGAGTTTAAAGGCATAGCACAAACAGAACAGAAGATACCCAATGCCATTAATCAGGTTACTTCTAAAGGAATGACTACTGTTGGGTGGGGGGACCATCGCAAAGTGCTCAAAATACTGAAACCACACCCGTCGTGCATGGACTTCCTTCCTCGACTTCGCCTGCTTCAACAACAGGAACACGCACATTCACAGCGAGCGCCACAACAAAGAGAACAAGCACGATGCACGACTGCTACAGGCAGCCAATGAATCCCCCAGAGGTAAGGCACAACTAATCCCCTGAAACCTGCAGTGGCTTTCACAGCTGGAACATCTTGGTATTAACAGGCAGTCAGCAGCGACATGGCCAACTGTGTGACCTCGGCGTCATGCAGAAATTAGTGCCATGTGCTACAGCCAGGTCCTGAGCAGGTCAGTTCTTCGCCTTGACTAGTTTAGAGCTTGTGAATTGAAGATCACGACCTGGTGTATCCAGTTTCCACTCTACCACGACCCGACAGCAAGAGAGACATGGGAACTGGCGCTTCAGAAGGCCTGTTGGTAGAGACTTTGAATGCATCAAGTAGCTTCCTCCGTTACAAGAAAGCTAAACCACTAACCCTGTTACAGAGAACTGATGACATAAGAGGTGAGACACCTGGTTTGTACTGTGGTTCAGCCCCATGTCTCCTCTCTGGGTGAAGCGAGGCCGTGACCCACAGAGCCACATGGCACTGATGCAGCTCATTCACTGGTGTCCTTTAAAATCAAAGCCGACCTGCTTAAGGACTGCCGGGAATCAATTTTATAGCGTGTAAGCAGCTTTGTGCTTCACACACAAGGCTCTAAACGCTTCTAAAATGGTCAAAAATGCAACCAAGTCATATGCCCCACAATCCTCCTGGAGTCCGGAACGTCAACCTTTTCAAAAAAATAAGTACTTTAGTTGTAGTACTTGATTATTGTAAGTGGGCTTTCCGTTCAGAGCAAGGTTTTCCGGACTCTCACTGGAGTTATTAAAGAGATCACTGTGCAAAAAACTTTTCAGGTTGTGTACTCTTGTTAAGGCATTATTTTCAGCGTGGAGAACTGTTTGTCCATTTTTGAAGCACTATCTTCAAGGCACACCCCTGTGCCTCTGACCACACTAGACCTTGGCTTTGGTCCTAAAACAAACTGCAACACCAACACCCGTCTGTCCTGAAGACAAAACGCAGCCCAGCCCAGTCTTGTCACAAGAATAACTAGCTCTGAAACGGCTTAGGCCCACAGCAAGGCATCAAGTCACCCTGTGTGCCGCTGTTGGTGGCAGCTGATGAGCTTGTCACCACGGGCAGCAGTATAAACGAAGCCACTTCTGTCCAAAAAAAAAAAAAAAAAGCTTTCATGCCAGGATGCACAAAAAGTACTTTGCTGCCCACCCCTTCCAATCCAGGACCTCTTTGTGCAGCTCGTCGATGAGAAGTAAACAACGTCTCGACACTGAACAACATGATCCTCCTCCTCTTTTCACAGCCAACAAGGCCGATCATTGCGATTATTCAGATCCAGCTGCGAAGCTGTCGATTAACCTGGTAGGTCCCACGTGCAAATACACAGATATATGCCGATCTTCCAGGGTTAATTCCAGACAATGCAATGAAAAACTGTGCATCTGCTAAACCTCTTCTCCTCCTCCAGCTGCACTGGGGTCTTATCGTCAAAAACCGAAGACAGCTGCGATAGCTCTGGAAACGGCCTTCTTTCTGTTGATCGTCGGACGCTATCGCGATGCAACCTGCAGCCGTCGGGCTCAAAAAGCCTTGTGGTTTGTAAAACCCTGACAAGCAGGTCTGCAGAGCTGCTGCTGGGAACTTCAGAGGCTCCAGCCAAATGCCACAGTGAAAGCTGCACAAAGTTCGTGCTAGCAAGAAATGCATGAAGTCCTAGAAAAAGATTAAAAAAAAAAAAAAAAGAAGACAGAAGCTGACACATGCTGCCATTGCATTGTTTTGTATTGGTGTGGCAATACACTTAATAGGCATTGTGATAAGCACCACTGACACACTATTCAACAGCCTATAAAATGCCTTCCATCATCAAGCAGTTGTGATTTGCTACTGGGGTTAACCTACCGGATAGCTACCTTGGGGGTTAAAGCCTAGTGCCTCTGTTAAATGCTGCACAAAGATCATGACAGCAAGAGCAAACAAAGGATCTGTCTGTGCTATCACATGATGAAAAAATGCATCCCCCAAGCATCTTTCTCTACTTGGTGTTTTTTCTGCTGTTACAGAGCTTGGTGTTGTAATGACATGAACTCTACTACTCCCCAAGGAGAAAAAAAGTTATTATTTTTTTTAGTCATGAACCATATTACAAAAAGTGACATTTGAGACACCAAGTATCGAAGTGAGACACTAAGTATTCCACTTTAAACTAAGCAGTTTTCAGAACAAAATCCTTCATGGGACGACAGTCAAACCAATGTCGCTGATAAAGAAGCACAGGGCCCTGTGTAAGCACTTAGGTCAGACAGGATAATCCTCAAGCACAGATAACAGGCCAGGGGAAAACAGAGCGCTGATATCCCGGAGCCCAGCGGCCAGCTGCCAGAGCGTTTACCACAGCACCCCAAAGCCTTCACTGACTCATCAGTGAAGAAGCTGCAGATCACCCAGGTCCCATTCAAGCTTCCGAAGAGATTTCAGTTTTCTCTTTCCCCACAGCTCTCCTTGGGCACAGGGGAAAACCTGAGCAGACCTGCCAGGACAGCAGTTTCCGAGACCTCCTTTGCAAGACGGCCTCAGCACTTTTAATTTTAAACCTCGGTAACCGAGGAGGCAGGGTAGCTGGCCTACAGGAAGTTCACAGGATCATGTGGCTCCACATCCACCTTCCAGGCTTGCAGTTCAAGCAGATGCCTCTTTCCTAGAGGTATGTGGGTTAACCAACTCTGCGTGTCTGTCATGCAGTGCAGATGATACAGCAACATCTGCTTCCATTACGTAAAACCGCAGAACCAACAGACTTCCTGAACTTGCTTCACAGTGTTCAGAATTCTGCCCAGGCGTGTTTTTTTACCACTCAACACCCTCTCGGGTGAGAGGTTACATTACTGGGAAGAACTAAAACTTATAAGAGAAGCCGCAAATAAACATGACTGTCAATCACGATACCTGGCACAGGCTGTATTTATTTTCAACAAAAGGTATTAAAAAGACACAAAAACCTTTTGCTCCAATAGAAAAGGGGGGCAGTAAATAGAAGCACCTGGGTTTCCTCAAGCCCAGAAAACCAATTGTGAGGACAGGTGTCAGAGCAATTGAGCATCACACCATAAAGAATCCCTTTGAGTGCAAGTGTTTAATGATTGTAGGCAGGTTCTTAATTATAACGAATTAGCTGTCACAGACCCACATCACAATGCAAAACACCAGCATTAATGGGAAAGAGAACTGGGAGGAAAAGATTCCTGAATATGCCGACAGCACTTCCTTGATGCGTTTGAAGGCTGGAATTAAAGAGCTTCTAAGAAACACATCTGAGCACTGCAATTTCTAACAGACAGGCGATTCTCATTTTGAGTGGCTGTAGAGTCCAGTGGTGAGGTTCTTCAGACCTGTGATCCATGTGCAAGATCACACTCACCTCATAGTAAAACACAGGAGAACAGAAAACAGATTATCAATAATGATCAAAGAAGCTGTAACCCAAAATGCAGAGGATTATTTTCCTGAAAGAAAAGTTCAGGCCCTTTTTAAGGGTCTCCTCAAAAGCGGAGGGGGCGCACATTTACCATTTCCCCTACAAAAGTGAGTTCTCACAATCTGCAGTTTCGGACACCTGGTGTCTGAGCTCAGCTAAGGAGGCAACGGAGTCAATCGGCCATCGGCGGGATCAACGTCTCCCCTAGAAGTCGCAAAGCAGATCCAGGCCGAGCCAGAAGCCACGGTCTTCCCTTCAGGCTGGGCCCTCCTGGGTCTTACCCTCGATGCTCAGCTCGAAGCACACGTGACAGAAGGACAGCGTCCCCGAGTCCGTCTCCAGTTTGCACACGCTGCAGAAGTCGTCATCGTTCAGGTCGATGTTGACGAACTGCTCCTCCTCGTTCATGTTGCCCCTGGAAAGCAAACACCGGGGGGGGGGGAATGGAAAGAAAGGACTGAATGGCGGGGTTTACAATCAGGGCAGCACCCGGCTCTTCCGGTCAGCTTTTCCCGAACAAAGGGTTTTCAGAACGGCAGCATTGTGCGCTTGAAAAAGGGCAACAACACGTGAAGCACTGAACAACTGTTCAATCACGCTAAACGCTGAAAAGCTGCCACATACAGTACAGAGGTCTGGACTTCTTTCAGGGTACTGGGTGAGATTCTGGGATCACTGAGCAACTAACCACAGAGCAAACCAGAAGGAACGCACGGCCTCCTCTCTTTCCTATCCTCCGATGCTCGTATCCGCTCGCTCCAAAGAGGGAGCCAGTCGTTCCGGAAGCAAGCCAGGCCTGTGGGCTTTGCTGTGGTAAACGGATTTAGACCGTACTATTTAAGTCCACTATTTAAATCACTGACAGCAGCACCCTGTAGTACTGTAGTAGTCTGCTTTCCAGGACAGACATTGGTAATCTCATTCAAGGGGGTTTAGCGCTGACATCAAACTGGAGGTGGGAACTTGCATTTTTAAAACAGAGTATGCAAGTTACGCATGTTTATTTTAATCCATCTACTCAGAAAGAGTTAAGTATTAAAAACACCTGACACACCATTAATAAGGCTCTATCCGTAAACGTGTTTTAGAGGAAAAAAAACCCGCACTTCCAGCTTCATGGTGTCCCTAACAAGAAAAACTCTTAACACACACTCAGCGTGGAGCTCCAAGAGTTAGAAATTCCACTGCAAGTCTGAACAAAGACTGTCTCTCTAAAAGACACCAGCTTCAAAGGAACACTCTGCATTTCAACCTTCTGAGAAGCTTGTTCAGATGAAGAAACAGGCTGCTGTGCTATTGTTCACATGCATTTTAAGCAATTTGACTCAGTAATCCAACCCTACATGGTATGTACCAATCAAGTAAATCGGAGCTTTTGAGAAATAATAACACAGAAATCAATCACCACCTATCCATGGTTTATTAGCATATATTCAGTTTTAATGATTCTATGACAAGTTCATTGTGGCTACAATCCTTACCAGGAATAAAGGATTTTCTGAAGAGGAGTTATTTCTCTTCAGAAAATACAGAACACGGAAAGAATTCAGCATAGAAAGAACCAGCATATGAACCCAGCAGTTGCTTAGCAAAGGATGAACCATGGCAAGGACGCCACAGATCAAAATGGAGAGGCAGATAATGCGATGGCACGGGACAATATTAAAATCTACAAACAGGGCTGGCACTTCTGGGGGTATTTTCCTACAGAATATACCTGTACACAGACAACCAATACTGGAAAACCTTCTTATTCATTTCACAGTGACATGATGAAATCTCAAATTCATTCCGCCTGGCAAAAAAAAAGGTTTTATCCAGCGGGTAGGGAAGTTTCATTCGCGGAATAAAGAACGAAAGAAAAAAAAATGCAAAAAGGGAAAAAAGTGTCTTTGTTTTGCACACCATCACCTTGAGGCTTCTCCGTTTCCTTATTCTTATTGCACGCTGTCAGGCTTTCCCTGTATCAGGCAGCTCGTTCATTTTACCGGCTGGTCTGCGGAGGGGACTTTCAGTCTGTTATTGAGCTCCGCAGGCCAACACAGCTGGCGGGAGGGCCCAGACAAGGTAAGGCATGGCTCCAGGTTTCTTCACGGCTGTCCTCTCTTCTCATTTCTTCCTATTTTCTCTTGCACCGAGCACGAGGCTTGCGAAAGAACACACCTCCGAGGCATCACTGATGCACAAAGCAGAAGTGATCCAGCGCAGGCAGGAAGGACTTATCGAGTGTTGTCTGGAAGAGGCCTGCATGAGCTCTCACTGGGGGGGGTGGGTACAGCCTGGACACTCCACTGGTGCCCGTTCATGTGACAGAGGGCTGCAGGCTGCACAGCTCTCGTCAGACAAGTTGAACTTCAGCCGGTGAAGGCAGCTCGCCCTCCACATGAGAAAAAAGTGAGCAGGACGTCCAGCGTCTTCTCTTCGGGTTGCCTGGCGTCTCCAGTTTCACGCTACGTTACACACGGCTCTGTAAACACCATGCAGCGCACTGTGTGTAAATGTCATGCTGGCGCTGCACAGCTTTAAAGCAGCATAGCGGGCTGTGCGACTAATGTACTTCAGAGGGGACTACGCAACGCATATCTCGACAGGCAAATGTAGCATTTGGAATATCCAGCTGCTGGATAAGGCTTTAAATAGTTGTTTTTTTTTGTCGTGCAATACCCAAAGAAAAGAGGTATTTTATTTTTCTATCGAAGACATGCAGTCTTCGTGATTTACAACAACCTACATAACCTCTGCTTTTGTGGTCGTGTGACAAGTCACAGTACCAACGCCTGAGACAGACGTATAAAGCTTCTTTATACCTCTTTATATTTATTCTAAAGGTTACCGCAATTCAACCATTTCTACATTTACAGGAAAAGTAAGACTAGTGACTTATAATCACTCTCCAACTAAAGATTTGCGATACACGCCACACGAAAGCAGCCTCGCAGAAGGAAAAAAAAAAAGTTTTTGGAATAAGTGGTTCGAAAAGTCTGAAACAGCCTCTTATCCTGCTGGCTGGTTCTCTCTTGTTGTGTTGGGGAAAGTGCGACCCACGGAGCTCGTAAAATACGACTTTTAAAAGAATAAGTTGAGACCCTTCGACAATTTGCCGCTTTCGTGCCGTTTCAGGGTCACTCCACGTGGGCAAATGTCTACGACTGTTTACTTTCCAGTCTATAACAGCCGAGTCGGATTACGCTTTGCTTAATTGATTAATTGACTAAATGACCCGCGTCATTATTTACCCAGTGGCACAACACAACGGGCGTCGTCTCCTTTTTTTTTTTAATTTCGGGAAGCGGGTTACACTTTCCGAGCAGGTGAGCGAGGGCGGTGTGCCCAGTCTTTGACACAAGATGTCGACGGGTTATTTCGGTAGAAAGTTCTCAACGGGGGAAAACAACCGCGCTTCTCGACGGAAGGGGTTTCAAACTCGGCCACGGAGAAGGAAGAGAAACCCAGCTACGGCGGACCGCATCCGACAACGGCACCCTCGATGGACTTGTCGTTAGAAAGAAAACAAAGGTGTCGACGAGGTACCAGAACTTGTGGAGAGACCCCCCTGACGTCGCTCGCTTCAAACCCAGTTTAAAGACCACACACACACACACGAGCGATATTCAAACCACCGAGCCGGAGCAGGCGACATATCCCCCGCCTTTAATACACCTGACCGACGAGGTAATCCTGTTTTTTTTTTTTTTATCTCTCCTATCTGTGGTCCACAACACAGCAGCCCTGATCTCAACAAGCAACTTCAGTTCCTCCTCCTCCCCCAACCCCGAAACCGCTGGGCAAACGCGTTAAACTGTCTCCCCAGTGACGTAGCAAGAAACCTAACGGACAGAGAAGGGTGCACCCCCTCCTCACACACAGGTATCTTACCTGACGTGCCCTGTTCAGTTGTTTTTCTTCAGGCTGTGTGGGTAAGGGGAAAGCTAGCCCCCAGTCCCCGCAGGCTCACGGCTCGGTCTGAACTATTGTTGTGAAGCGCACTGCTCCCTGTAACTCCGCGTGGAAAAATCCCCCACCGCGGGGCAAACCAACGACGCGGGACGCAGGGAAGGCCGACCTCCGCCTGGACGATAAAGCCGACGGGATAACTTCCTCGCGGGAAGGCGCCAGCCTTTCAACGGATTTCTTTTTTTTTTTATGTGCCCATATGGTGTCCCGCTGTGTGAAGTAGTCCACTCACAACAACCCGACCCGGGCCAAGGTGAATGGATTTTGACACCGCCTCCCCCGTTTCTGTTTCGAGCGATGGTGCGAACCCCCCCCGAGCAAAGAGGGGGAGATGGAGCTGTGCAAAGGGGGAGACATTATATTTTAGGTATCGCGGAGTGGCTTGTCGGCTCACAACTCAGCGAGGCTATGAGGCCTTTTCTGACATTTACGATACTTAATTAAAAAAAATAAACATACACTGTTGGTGTTTAACCGCCAGGGCGCTGAATGTTTCGTGAGCAGGGGTGGCCCTCCACCCCTGTGAAGTCATGGATGGTACGGTCCGCTTTGCGCCTCGGTCCGGCTGTTTCCATTGCGTGTGCACCGTGCAGACCTGGCGCAGAGTATGCAAGCGCTGTGCACTGGAGATACACTCTCAGGGAAGGAGAATTTAGCATGTGGAGAATTTGTCCCAACAGTCGTAACGTCCAAGACTACCTATTTATTTCCAATAGCACCGACTGTCATGCCACCCCCCCTCCCAGGTTGTTATGACTATCAAAAACCCGAGCCGATGACGGCGGGGTTTTCCACAGGTCTAAAAACTAGTGAGAAAGACACTCGTGGGAATTTCCTTCTGTTTCCGTGGTGGATAAAAATCACACGGCTTTCGTTTCACTGGAATAGGTTCCAGAAAATGTGTGCGGATACGTTAATGGGGTTTTTGTTTCTCGGTAGTTACAACAAGTTATGTTTGCCTTTGAGTCCCACAAATACACAATACTACAACTTTTTTTATTCTTCAACTGGTAGGAAATGTTTGTTTTTTTAGAAAGAGACACTTAACTACATTTCCAATTAACGTTGACGTACTGCTTGAACACGCAGTCAATTTTTATTTTCAAAGGACACTTAAAATCTCGCCTCCTGTCGTTTCCCAGGAGTATGTGGTCAGATTGATCACAGTTTGCGTCGACATTTGATTAATACTGTTCTATTAGAAATCCTAAGTATGTCAGTGGAATAAAAGTCAGGTTTGAAGTCGTGTAAAGAACGCATTCTTGTCTCTATTCCCACGAGATTTGTGTCTGTAATGCGATTTGTCAAAAAATGCACTTCATGTTAATATTGTCTTCCTCTGTTATTAAACTCAAACTTGAGCAGCACAAAAGTTCTGTGTTCAACAGCTAGAGAATTTTTAAAGACAATGGCAGTTTTTTGGCAACGTCATTCCTGAGATAAGGTTATTTCAAAACATCTCCTCATCTCAGAGCTGGTAATGTAAGGCTACAGTCATTTCTTGCAGTGAAATGGAGCAATATGAACACTTTCTAGTTCAAAGAAAAACGCCAAAGTTGTTTTTTTTTGCATATATAAAGTTGCTTTTTCCTTGACTTATTAGTTGCCTACCTTGTGCATGATTCAAGGTACAGAACATTCTTCATGCGAAGCATACTGTTCCTCAGTTGCACCTTGTCTCACTCTTTCCTCCTAGATTTAGCTCAGTAGAGAATAGTAACAGATGCCTTATATGGAAAGTACACACAGAGGGAAGCAGGCTGGGAAAGGCACTTGAAAATAAATCCCCTTTGTTCCAATGAAATTGTACTCTCCTGCCATCACATCACTACAAACACAGGGTTCTGGGCAGATATCCTTGTGCATCCAGCTCCCATCCATCCTAGCATAAATAGTTTGGATTAATTCCCCAAATTATGTGAGATCCGCTGTCATATTATTGCTCTTTGGACTGAAACTTGTCAACAAAGAGCCATGGGTATCCCCAAAGTTTTGTGTCTTGGAGGCACCCAGTGAACTAGAAATAGATCTGTCACTCAAAGGAACAGCGAGCAGCTGAAGCATGGCTCTGGCCTTCCTGCAGAGTGATAATGAGCCATCAGCAAATACACTTTTTGTTCTGTGTGGGCGGCTGCACTCAGCAGGCAACTGCTGAGGGTGTGACCTGGGGCAAGGTTCGGGAGAATAGTGGCTTGCTTCCAAGAGGGATGAACATTAACATCACAGAGAATGCCCCTGAGGAGACGACTCACAGGGGCTCCCCCTGTGATGTGATCAGACCTCTCGGCTGGGCTGTGGGAAGGTGACAGCCTGTGAAAACCAGGCTAGGGGAACTCTGGGCTCTCCAGGTCCTGCAGAGTTATCGCATTCCAAGCCAATCTGTGCACAGTCACTAATTCCTCCACACATTTGCTTGGTGATTGGAGGCTACAAGAAAATAGGGACTGTTATAGATAGATACTTTATTGATCCCGTGAGGGAAATTGCAGTGCAACAGCAGCTTAACACAGACAACACAGTCACAGTATAAGGAATGATACAATAATAATAATAATACAATACAATCAGTACAGTGAGGGGTGAGGCACAACATCCATAAGGCACAACGTGTGCAAGAATCTTCTTACTATCAAACAATTTGGATGTGCTTTTAATGTAAAGAGACTTGTGTTTGTACCCATTTGTACAGCTGAGCAAAGTACAGTACCTTGTTGATGGTACAGCAGCACAATGTGGCCTTCCTTACATACCCCCTAATCCACTGGGTGGAGAGGTTTCTTCATGGTTGCTTCATAGTGCTTCATGGCTGCTGCGTGTCGCCCAGGTGCGAACGGCTCTTCAGTGGAGGAGGAAGTGGGTCCCCCAACTGTATTTACATGGCTCTTTGGCATGCGAACACTGGAGACGTGCAATCAACCAGTGGGGACTCCTGGAGTTTATAGCCAGCGTCTGGGTGGCTTGACGACAGCCTAGTTCAATCAGCCTCAGCTGTCAGTAGTTCAGTAATTGCTCCTGATGTAATTCCATTTCCTAAAATATTATAAAGACTGGATGTGATCCCCTTCTCTGCATCACATAAGTCTTTTATAGGTTCCCCCTCCAGACCACCTCCGCCTCTGCAGGGGGTCCCAGCCTCCTCGCCCCCCCCCCGGCCAGGAGATCAGCGCTCAGCACAAGTCAGTTAAGGCAAAGTTCATTGTGACTAAAACATCAACCCCTCTGTATGCTTAATTCTGGGGGTTCTTATTCCTAGTGACATGGCTCTGGAGTGGGCCAAAGTGCATGACTGAGTCTTTACGTCTGCTTTCTTTGCCTTGGTGTATATGGTTTTCAAAGGGGGTGGGGATCTGTTTTGGTATTAGAGATACGCTTTCACAAAAAAAAAACTAAGTTTTCAAGTCACAGGTCTGATACTTGAAGTATCAGACAGGCGGCGAGACCCTGGTCTGTGCTACTGGGGCTCCACAAAGACTTTCTAAACTACCTTATCCTGATCAGTCCCTCCTGTACTTGATGAATTTCATAAATCCCTGCACTGGATTATAAAATGAATATTTATTAAATATTCAGCATCACAGTAGTATAGTATTTTATGCCCTGCAGAACAATAAAATTGTTCCAGCTGGAAGGCTTTGCCAATGCTGTGCATTAAATTTAATAAGCTGAAGTGTTTTGGTATTTGAATAAAAAAAAAAACTGGGATATTATTTACATGCACGGGCAATTTTGAGGTGCACTCATTTTCAGAGCAGCGAGCATTCTGAGGCAGCGCTTCAGGAAATACTAGTGAAGTCAATCAGTTTAAATATCATCTTTAGCCTCATCTTGGAAGCAGGGAAATGAAAAATGTGGAGATGAACAGGGCCAAGTTCAGAATAATAAAATCCCTTATTCCCACACCTCCTTGTGAAGTTTTGATTAACACCCACATGTCCCTCCTCCTGCACTCAGGAAATGTGAAGACCCAGGACCCTGTCGCTCTCACTGAAGATTGCTTTAGTTATCCCCACACACATTTGTGGCTTTATGAACTCCTCACACATTGGCTCTTACATGGCACACTCCTGTCCTGGGGAGAGAAGCTGTGCTCAATAAGACAAACCATAGCCTTTGGTGCTCATTATTCCCTGCTGGTGTTCTGCAAGTTGGCTTGATTTAAACACGCTAGCCTGTGCAATCATTACTACAGCATGTAAATCCTTCAGCCCACAGGGCTGACTGGTGCGTCGCCGGATCTCGGTTGAAATCATCAAATTTGCAGTCGAGCAAGGTGTTATTCTGAGGCTCTTCGACGAGAGATTCGATTCATAGGCTATTAACAAAACTCTTCCAGCAATCTTTCAAGTCAGAGAAAATACTCCCAGCCTGGAACATTGCTGATGTGCCATCCATTTATTAAAGGGTGACCAAACCAAACCAAGTAATTACAGACCAATTAGTCTTACCTCTATTGCACAGAGCCTTCTGCTAAGTATAACCATAACCTGCAGCTCCCCTGGCGGTGCATGACAGTCCCTCCAACCACAGTTGAACTGTAGTTAAAATCTGGAGCACAGAGGCTTCTGGGAGCCATCATGTTATATTTCATTAAGTTAACACTAAGTTTGGCACAGTGGTGCAGCAGTTAGCATTGCTGCCTCACAACACAGGGGGCCCTGGGTCCAGTTCCTGGGGTGCAGTCTGCATGTTCTCACGGTCTCAAACATGAGATTACATTGAGACTGAAATGAAATCTAAGATTAATCTAATTTTAAATGTGAATGATAACAGATTGTATAGCTATAACGGGTTTTTGTAGTTAATATAAGCTTCTAGGACTCTAGATCTAACTTAAGATGCATCGCAATGACTGTCTATCCTGTTATATTTCAGGGAGGTAGCCCAAATGAGCAATTAGCAGATTCACGATAACTTTACAAGCTGCAGAGTTGCAGTTTTCACAGCGTGCTCTGTGCGGACCCCAGACTGCGGGGCAGTATCAGCGACAGCATGTCCAGATTTCAGATTCCTGCAGATTCCTGAAATCCTGCAACAACAGTCTTTCTCCAGTAGGTGGAGTGAAGAGCCGCACACGAGCTTGGCCCAAGTCTGGCTGAATACAAAGAAAACATGTTTGATTAATCGAGAGCTCGGCTTTCCAAAAAACTCTTGTCCCGTTTTCCTTTTAACATTTATAAGTCGTAGACTTTCGGTTTGCGCCGAAAGTTTCTCGATCGTTTCTGACCAGTGGAAAAGATTGAATTCCGAGGAGTACCTCAACACAAAGGTTAACCACAGTTCTCTTCATGAACACGAGTGTGCAGAACATAAAAATAAAAACTTGTGAAATAAGTCTGCCATCAAAATGACTATGACACAGAGGCCATGTGATGGGCCGTTTGCGTTTGAAATTCATGAAGCTGGACAATAATGAGGCCTTTGAGCTCGGCAACTTTCAAAACACTAATACCTCAAAAGTGCCTCCGGTGATCAGCTTCGACTTTTGATCACTGGGAATAACACACTTCTCATTTTCTACCGTTTTATTCGCTGGAGCAAAGAGCCCGATTCAGACTTGACACGTAAACTGTGGGTGTGCGGAGGAGACTGTTCTCCCTTCACGGTGGGTGTAATGTCCCTGCTGATTAAACGAGACAGTGCTGGCGATCCCAGGTGGGCATGATCACATTAGAATTTGTAGGAGCGACGTGGTTGCAGGACAAGAATTCGGCCCGCATCTCAAATGTATCATTGGCTTGAAAGGGACAAAATACAGGACGCGTTTTAGCTCAGCGTTCAACATCGCTGTGATGAAAATCCGAATATTTGACTCAAGTGTAGTGAAACGTGCATCTCTCACGCACTGGCTTTGGCACGGTATTTGTTAATCAGTTGCACAGGTGATTGCGTATTTATTGACATAGTTTAGACCACTTGTTTTTTTTTAAAATATGTAACCATCTCATTTTCTCCACTTGCGTTGTCTACAGGTCACCTGGCGTGCATGAAGTATATGTACACTTTCTGAACCTGCTGTTAAATAAGGAACAAACAGCGAGCGAGCGAATTTCTACCTGTTTTGATCCTCTGTCAATGAGTAACTTTCCATGACATCAGCAGTGTTCCTTTTCATTTACATATCCAGCCATGAATCTTGGCGTTCTCTTCAGCTTCACATACACCCACATTATAACTGCAGGGCAACCTCCAGGAACGGGCCACAGCATGTCAGAGCATTAGGGATGTGGTTTGCTTCTTGTATAACTAGTAAGGCAAGCCACTTCCAAAACAGTATTCTACAGCAGTTTGTAATACATATTTCCCACTCTGATGCACTGATGAGTGGGAAATGTGGGCTTTCATTCATCTCAAAAGGCTCTATAATTTCACAGTGTAGTCAAGTGTGTTATTTCCACTAAATGTTATACAGCTGGGCTCCCAGAACTCCAGTGCTTCTTACAAGCTGTCAGAGGCTTATAAACACAGATTCGGAAGTCGTAAAATCCTTTGTAGGGCCGTAACTCGAACAACCATGTTTTCGTTTCTGGGTTCGTTCATCCGAGCCCTCACAAGTTTGATATTGCCCGTTGACGAATTGCAGGCTTAGTCGGCAAACTGTTTCTTGTGCTGTGAAGTGGGCATTTTCCCTGGAGGGGGAATGAGAAAGCAACGTGCTCCTCGGGCGACAGAACAAAAGAGCCTTCAGAAGCCAAGCGACCCTTTTTCCGCGCCACAGTTTCGGCTGGTTTATGATTGATGAAGTAGCCCATTAAGGGAACTTCAGCTCAAAACTTAAAAGACGTGACTAGAGTTATTGGAATTAATTAGCGTGGAAGGGCTAGCACCAATTTGAACACAACATTTTAATAAATGGCTTGTGCATGATCAGTCCGTAACACTGAGTGAGTCATACGGTACGCGTTGCAACAGGACAGATGGTAGATCTAAGCTGAATAGGAATGGCTCACTCACTGCTAACAAGAGTGAACAGTTTAGTTGGTTGTTTTTTTTTTTTGAGGAAGCAGACAGTCCTTTCAGCATGATTTCATCGGTGACTCACAACACTTACAAGGATTATTTAGAGCAGGGCTTCCCAACTCCAGTCCTTGGGGTTTGGAATCCAGAATCTTTTCTAGGTCTCCTTAAGTTCTTAACAGCTCTAGGCCTGGGAGAACTGTTAGATTGATCCACGGCAGGTTCATCTGGACAAATTTATCTCCTGCTCTATATTCTGTGCAGCCTCAAGCAGTTGACAATCTGGAGACGGTTAGAAAACCTGTTGAATTCTACGCCTCACAGACCAGAGTTAGGAACCTGTGCTCTGCAGTCATTCCAGTCCACTCAATGGCCGTTCTCTGATACCACCAGAGTGTTAACTGTAAATGCATGAGGTGATTGTACATAATAAACCTTCCAGCACCGTGGGAAACTGCTCTGATCTGTGAGCTGTAACCGTCTTTGCCTGGAGTACCAAAATCTCAAACACCTCTCTGCCACAACAAACCTCACTGTACTTTTCCATCAGGTGAGGCTTCACACATTTCAATGCTGTGCATACGTGGTAGTTATTTTTATCAGACTTCACACTTCTTTAGTTTTGTTTGAATTGGGATTGAACCGGTATTTTTAAATACCTGCACCACAGAATGGCCTACTAATATTTCAAGGATGGCAGGATACTTTTGTATTTCCCTGGAACAAAAGCTCAAAAATGTATTTCATAGCGGTCCCGTTAATAATTATCATTGTAGAAGTCTAAGGCATGCAGATTAGATATGTTGGCTGTACAGAAACATTCCAACACCAATTCCAACACATTTATTAACACTTGACCTCAAAAGGAATTTCTTGTTTGGTACTAATACAGTATTTGTTGCATTTAATAGATATTTCAGTTTATCAGATTGTTGGTTAAAGCCCACAAAACCAATAAAGATTTTGATTTAACATTTCTGATAAACTGCAGCAACCTTTCTTATGGAAGGCTTTAAAAACATTGTGTCCTTGAACACAAATCATACTTGAAGGATCATAAAACCAATTGTTTTAGATAAGGTGTAGGCGCTGATGGTTCTGAACTAGCTCACAAAACTAGTTTGTGGAGAAGTCTTCTGTTCTTTAAAATAAACATGTTACAAGTAACAATACAAAAGAGTGGTAATATAATATCTGTGATGGGTCCATTGTCACTGCTCTAGGAAACATGGGATTGTGAAATCAGAATGCTGGAAGTCCCAGTGTAAGGAGAATGGAGCCCGAGATAGAAATCCTTGCAATTCTAGTAACATCTGGTGTTAAGACTAAGACTCTGGGAAGGATTTGTACTCTGTTGCACCACTTAACACCGACACTTATTGGGTTAGATTCTCCTTCTAGGGATTCTTAGTTTATACAGGAGCTACTGGGTATGGAATTATTCCTGGACATAGAACCCTGCATTGAATAAAACATCTAAGAGACAGCATACAGAATGCAGTGCCAGCTCTTCAATATTACATGATTTAAACACAATAGTACTAATGCAAATATTACTGTAAGTTCTAAGTAAAGCAGTATTCTAGTGGTTTCCAGGCCCCTGTTACGTAACCTAAGAAAATAACATTGTACCATGAGTTAAACCTGAAAGCACGCTTTGCAATTTCTTAAGTTATGAGAATAATGCTCCTTTGCTTTTCTTCCCTGTGTTCCCCTCCATGCAAGTGGAGAGGCAGACACAGTCTCACACCTGGCGACAGGCGGGGACAGTCTTGTCCAGCTGTGCCACAGCAGTCCAGTGGTGGGCACAGTGGCTCCTACGCTGTACACTGGCTCCCACAGCTGCATCGGGATTTGTTATGTGATGACACAGGCGGCAGACTTCAGACGGGATTCTTAAGCAGAGGGTAGCAAGCACCGCCCGGTGCCCTGCTCCTGCTGCCACAAGACCTGACCGGCCTGCTCTCTGGACTCTCTCAGGATCGTTCTGTTAGTCTGCCATCCTGTCTGGGGCGAATTAGACAGCCATCAACTGAAAAGACGTTAAAGGAAATTCAGCTGACAGGCCAGGCAGCAACGCTAATGAAAATATCCTGTCCCCCTGTCCAAATATCACTCAGGCTTTTCATTCACCGTGTCCAACTCTCAGATTTATCCATTCATAACTGAGGAAACAGATGCAGTATATTGAGAAAGGGAGCTACAGGATGTGCCTGGTGTGTCAAAATTCAACAGGTTCTGCAGTCAAGTAGGAAACGTTTGTCAATCCATGTGGAGTGGTTTCAACTTGTAAAGGTGCTGGCTTCGAGCCCTGTGACTGTTGGGGTGGCTGGAGGCCTGGGGCAATGTCAGCAAGGGTCACGCCTCTCCTCCAGGCTTTGGTGCAAAAATCTCCCTTACCTCCCTGCAGAGCTGGTGGCGTGTCAGAAGATGACCAGTCCGAGGGGCAAGCAGCTTTGAGGAGCCTTTCTGTTCCTCCCAGGGGAGCACAGCTGTCAATGCTGTGAGCTGGGCTTCAGTCAAAAATCACTGGCAAATGCAAAATCGTCACAGATGATCGGTGGTATTTCTGATTATACTGCCTATCTTCAGATGCTCCTTTTCTTGTACTGAAATTTAAAATCATTCTATGATCATTCTTGGAGAACCACTCGCTGAAATAAAATGTCACGCTGCCTGAAAAAAGGGGTCTGTCGCCCCGTATCCCTCGAGCACCTTAAAATACCGATTCAAGTCTTCCAGTGGGTTCCTGCTGTGCGCGTTAACAAGGGTGCCAACACAAGTCAGAATGGCCTTGGTCGTTCTAAAGCAAGCAGTGCAGTAGTTTTGTCTCGGCAATCTATAGTTAGGAAAATATTTACGTCTTTATTTTCCTTGGCTGTCATTTAATGAAGAGGCAACGCTAATTACCAGCTTTAGAGGCAGGGCAGAACAATACGAAATAAGACGTGCAGCTCAGACGCACCTTACCTCTGGGTTATTTGCCATCATTTGAGTTCAAGCTCTTCACAATAGCCCTTTGCAGGCTCAGACTGTAGATGACAACACAGCCCATTCTTGCCTTGGCACTCAACACAATACACCAGACTCCGTAAATGAAATGTACTTTACTGCACCATTATTTACACAAGTGAGGCCGTGCAAACACTTCCAAAAATACAAAACTCTTAATGATACATCATATAAAATCATATCAACACTATATTACAATGAGATGGCAACAGGAAATAATGTGCAAAATATCTGCTTCCACCTGGGGCTTAATGTGTGCTTGCTTGGCAACATAAGTAAATAGTGTTCTCACGAATCACAGCTGTTGATCCGATGTAGCATTTGAGCAGACCAGATTTCTGGCCTGCACAAGCACCGTCTTCAACCAAGCAATCATCCACTATTCCTGGTTTGATCTCCAGTATTAATGGAGGCACTGTGCACAAAATCTTAAATCTTACTGTAAATGCGTAACAGTATTTTGTGTAAGACAAAAAGACAGAGCAAACAGTATACTTTACATGTTTAGATTTCCCTCCCACTTTCTTATGGAGCTCTTGTCGTAGTGGCAGTGCATTGGTGTAGTCACTGTGTAGCCCGGAAGTGAGCGTCTGCTTATTTTCATTCCAAATATAAGTGCACTGCAGTCTATGACCATGAAGGTGTGTTATTGTAAAGTTCTGGAGACACGATGTCAAATGTGTACAGAAAATGCAAGGTCCTCTCAAAAAGACTCTGACTCCTGTAGGAATGAAAGGCCATGCCACTTTTAAGAAAATATATATTAAAATGATTTCACCTCATACAAACACTGTATTCTCTACAAATAAAAAGGATAATGCAGGAAACTGCACAATTATCAATGGAGAATCCTGGGCGACAGTAACATTAGATTGAGTCCTTCTAAGCCACTGCGGTCTGCTATGAACGCCTTCCATCTCTTCAATTTCAAACGTGCTACAGACGGCCTTGGTCGAGTCCATTTAGAAAAGTGGGAAAATGTAAAATGTTGTTCATATTGTAGTAACGGCAAGTGATCAGTGAGTGTCTATTTATATTACAAAACCAGACCTATTTTTCACCCTTTCAGAACAATCTGCAGCACTGAAGAGAGCAGGTGGCCGCTGTGTCCTCGTGATGCAGGCTGTGCCGAGCAGGTAAAATTCCACACATCTGTTGCAGGCTGTCGAGAAGACACATCTGGATCATTAATAACTTGAAGGTAATGGGTTATTATTTACAAAGGGCGTATTTACAGTACATATGAAGCAAATGTGCAAAAGAAAGTATAAAAATAGTAAACAAGAGGATAAAATATATTAACATAAGTTGTAAAAATCAGCAGTCTTGCCTCTTTCTATATATGCACATGTCTTTTACCAGTATTAGCTATCATACTGTAGGCAGTGAGGACAGTCTCATCAAAGTCCATAGCAGATTCCCAGCTGCACCCCGAGAAATGTTACATTTGGCTTTATGAGTTATGAGAGCCATAAAAGAACTGCTGAATGTACATAATACAGGTATGTCTCCTATAATTTGGGCTACCTCTGATCCTCTCTTCCTTTTTGCTCCTAATGCTTAAATGACTGATTACACAGCAGTCAGGCTGAAAGCATAACGCAGTCAGAAATCGCAAGACAGCTCTGTACAAGCCCCGGCGACGCCCCCCGCCCAGCGGCCCGGCTCTGGGAATCCTTAGCTTGCCCGCTCACAAAGAGAACCGCCGGAGTCCGGGAAGTCACTGTCCACCTGCTCCGTGAGCTTCAGGATCACGATCTTTTTCTGCAGGAGCTTCACCACGCCAGCTTTCCCGTTCTCCTTGGCCAGCTGCAGGGGAGTCTGGGACCTGGCGTCCTGGCAGCTGTCGGACGCCCCATGGGAGAGCAGGGCGCCGACGACGGGCGCGTGGCCCTCCCGGGCTGCCAGGTGCAAGGGGGTGGAGCCCTGCCCGTCCGCCAGGTTGACACTTCCTGGGCAGTGGAGGAGGAGTTCGTTTACGACGTCGCAATGGCCCTTCCCCGCCGCCAGGTGGCATGGGGACTGCTGGGCATGGTCCGTGCAGCAGGGGTCAGCTTTCGCCTCGATCAGCATTTTGACGGTGGGCAGATGCCCGAACAGGGAGGCCAAGTGCAGGGCAGTGCAGCCGGCCACAGTCCTGGCTTCGATGTCGGCGTTGTGCTTGACGAGGAGCCTGGTGGTGCTGGTGTGCCCGGTCTCGGCCGCCACGTGCAGCGGCGTGTGCAGGGAGGCCGAGGTCACGTGGACGTTGGCCCCCAGCTCGATGAGGATGCGTGCCACCCTGTACTGGCCCCTCTGCGAGGCCAGGTGCAGGGGGGTCCTGCCGTCGGAGGTCTGGCTGTCCACGTTGGCGCTAGCCTGCTTCACCAGCAGCTTGACGATGGACAGGTGGCCCTGCCAGGCGGCGAAGTGCAGCGGCGTCCAGTTGTCCTTCCCCCGGACGTGGACGTCGGCCCCCCGGCTCAGCAGGACCCGCACCACGTTCTCCTGGCCGTGCTGGCAGGCGATGTGGGAGGGCGTCCTGCCCTCGAAGTCGACCTCGTTGATGGAGGCGTTCTTGTCCAGCAGCTGCCTCGCGATGGTCTCGTCCCCGTTCTGCGCGGCGAAGTGCAGCGGGGTGTACTGGTCCTCGTCCTTGGCGTTGACGTTGGTCTTCCGGCCCAGGAGCAGCTCGGAGATGTTCTTCAGCTTCTTCTCCACTGCCAGGTGCAGCGGCGTGGAGCCCCTCTTGTTGGCCAGGTTGGGGTTGGCGTTGCTGAGCAGCAGGAACTTGACGGCCTCTTCGTTGGAGAGCAGAACCGCGTAGTGCAGGAGGCTGGAGCCCCCCTCCAGCAGCAGATCCACGTCCTGCGGCTGCAGGATCTTCATCAGCTTGGCGATGTCCTCTGTCCTGATGGCCTCGCACAGCTTCTTCTTCTGCACGTCCAGGGTGCCCGAGTCTGCAGGCAGAAGGAGGAGAATCATGAGATACTCAAAGCAGCTGCACATCTGTGCTCTCCCTGGTATTACAGACGGACTAACGTCTGATTGCAGGCTTCCAGCCGGAATTTCACTCATATTTTAATTGCTTTTGCTATTGGGTTTTTCTGATGCAGTCAGAACATACAAAATGACCCAAGGACAACAAAAGCAAAAAGGCTTTATGGATATGATAAGCTCATACAGAGATTTCTATAACAGTATGAGAACCGAAATATTTTATCACCAGTTACCATCACAGAGTGAGATACACACACACAAGGTTTCAGAGTGTTTTAGGTAGATTCTTCTTTGTCCACTTCACGTCATTGTGTTAAAGAAATAAAAAAGCGGACATCTTGAATGTGTAGACAAGTCCGAAACCGAATCAAACAAGTTACGCTCAAGCTTTACAATGCTCTAGTAAGAGCTCATTTAGAATACCGGTTTCAGTTTTGGCCAACATCCCACGTTAAATCTACAAGGTCTGTCCGGCCATTTCTTTACTGTGCTGCTGTACTACCAAACGAGCAAGGTGGCCTGAAGACGCAACCTGGATTACGTTCTGACGAGATCAGGGCTGCATTCTTACCTCCAGCAGCATTTTCCTTTTCGAAGGACAGGGAGATGGAGCCCTGGGAGGAGAAGGCCGAGTCGACCGACGAGATCCCCGACAACCTCTTGCTGGTGTTCTCTTTGGAATGGCCGCAGTCCTCCTTGACCCGGTCGAAGCTCTGTGAAATCCCCGAGTCGATCTGACTCAGCAGTTCCGACAGGCTGTAGTCCTTCTCGGTCAGGGCGGTGGACTTCGGCCTGCTCTGCTGCACCTTGGGGGGGGGGGGGAAGAAAAGAGACAAACAAAAGACAAAAAACGACATGCGATGGGAATCCCAAATCAGAGCCAAACATTACCAAGACATCTGTGCTTTGGAAGGGGAACACCGTGAAGCTCTTAGCTGACACAGCGATTGTTGGATGTTTGCTGGAGACTGGTGTGAAAGGCTTTGGCTCGTGGCAGTGTGCAAGGAAGAATAGCACCCCCCAAATTCAGACACATTTTGTCAAGAAGCAGGCTGAAAAACCAGTTCAGGCAGATACCATAATAAAGACTGATGTTAGTCACTAGGGGCACAGAAGTGTTCCGTGTAGCTGTGAAGAGCTGTGCTGGCGTGCACAGGGATCTGTACCTGCTGGATATAGTCCTGCCTGTGGTTTGGACTGGCTTCTGCTTCAGGCACTAGGTCTTTAGTCTCCTCCTGGGGTTTGGTGCACAGCTCTTCGGCCTCCGAAGTAATTTCTTTAAAAAAACAAAAACAGAGCACGCCTCTTGAATCACAAGACAGACATCTTCATTTTTGTGTGGGAACTTCTGCGGTGCACTGAAGCATTAGATTTGGTATTTACAAAAAAACATCTGATTCAACAGCCCGTTATGAGAGTGTGGAAAAGCCCGCAGACTTTAATTTCTACTTTTATTTTCACAATACCGTGACCTACAGCTGGATAACATCCTATTTCACAGCCACTGTTTCTTTTTTTTTTTTGGTCGAAGGCCGATGTCTCATGGTCTCCAGAGGTAAACGTCAGGTCCGGTCGTTATTTTTATCAGTGGTTTTCGCATTGCAAGGGAAACGACAGACCGTCCCACTCTCAGAAACAAGAAGCAAAATGGAAGAGAAGGACCATTTCGAACGTCCTCCCTTACAGCTGGGTGCTACAAACAGGCAGCAACCGAGCAGACGAGTGTTGAAAACGTCTCAATGCGAGAACTACCTTCTTTCTGTGCGCGTGTGACCCGAGTCAGTGTTTAGCTCCCTGCGCATTTCCAGGAAACATCACCTGATGCAACATGAGGTGTTCCTGAGGTATCAGGAAGAGCTTCTGCTTTTCACGTCTTCACACGAACGCCTCGGACGATTTCGGCTTCTCACAGCGGCTTGGCCACTCACCCTCGAAGCTGGGCCTGGCTCTGGGAGACTCCTGCCAGCACCTCTGCATCAGAGCCATGAAGCCGGCGCAGGCGGGGGGCCGGGAGCGCGGGACGGCCGTCAGCTCAGGCCGCATGCCCTTCACCACCTTCACCATGATGTGCAGGATGTTGTTCTCCTCTGTGGGACCCACAGACAGTCAGTTGCTTTTTCCTCTTTCAATCACCAAGAGTGAAACATAGAAGGAATCCTGCCCCCGAGTGTGAGAGTCACTGATCTCTTTTTTTTTGGGTCATTTAACTCCCCAGGCAGTGCTTGAAATGGACCGGTACAGCTAATCTTTTTTGGGGGGGCACCAGCACTTTTCAGTGGTAACTCACTAAATCCCCTACCCCCCTCCATTTACATTTTTAATCAAACGAGATTTTAATCTGTGACATTGAACACTTCAATATGGGTGTGCCTTTTAATTCCAAACACTCTTGCCTTGAGTTGAGATGATAAAAACAAAAAAAAACATTCTCAAGCTCATTTCCTTTTTGAATATTCTGACGTCCCCAAAACCGCTTTTGAGAACAGGGATCATTTCATAAGGCCAAATCCATGAGGAAGTGAGGCAAATGTGTGTCTTTGTATTGGGTAGCCAAAATCAGGACTTCTTGTTTGTGTTTTTTATACCTAACAGGCCTGTAGCCATCATTTGATTTACCCACATTGAATTTTTTTATTCCAGACTGTGGGAAGGGGGTATCAGCATTTATTTCTTCTGTTTCAAGAACTGGGTAAAAGTTTAAAACCGCAACAGAACTGAAACGCCTGAGTGAGACAGCAAAGAAATTTCACAGGGTGTAGGAGTACCAACCCCAGGAAGTACCCTGACAGTTACCATCACTTGTGTTTTCTTGGGGAGCTGCAGAACACCCGACAGATTGAAAAAATACGCCAAATAAAAAAAAGAAGGCCGACCTATTTCTGATGAGGTTTTCTGACCGTCTTTGAGAGGGTACTGAATTGAATGGCCGGACAAATTCGAGTCACAAAGTCTCCTACGGCTGTTCATACTCAGACCCTGAGCGCCACTCTTCCTTCTCATGACCGCACAGCTGCTAGGAGCAGAGCCGCGCCTACGCCTGTGGCTGGGAGGTTGCCGGTTCAAATCCCACAGCCGGCAGAGAACTCTGCTGGGCCCCTGAGCAAGGCAACTTAACCCCAACTGCTCCAAGGGGCACTGCACAATGGCTGACCCTGCGCTCTGACCCCCAGCTTCTCTCCCTGTCTGTGTGTCTCGTGGAGAGCAAGCTGGGGTATGTGAAAAGACGAATTCCTAATGCAAGAAATTGTATAGGGGCTAATAAAGTGATGTTATGTTATGGTCAGAGCTGCTCATGTTCGCATACCAGTCAGCGCGTGAAGAAAAGGTTTGACTTTAACTCTGGGAAAAAGTGATTCTGCAGCCGTCACCAAGCACTGGAATGTGAAGAGTAAACATTCAGCTAGGCTGGGTGGGGGGGTGATGAATCTGAAACAACACAGAAAGGGCCTGACTACGCCCTTTGCTGAAAAGAGACTCAAAAGAGACGGTTAATGACTCGGACTTGGCTGCTCTCTTTTCCAGGAAATCACTGCCAGCGTCTCACATGGACTCTAAACAGTTTGAGGGGGAAATTGAATGCGGTACACAAGTGTGCTTGTCTTTTAAACATCTTCCCACAGCTGGGGCGTGCAGAGATCACTCAGACACACGATTGCTCCAAGCGGAATGACACTACCTGTAAACACCAGGAACGTCCTGAATTCACTTCAAAAATGCCCTCTGGCTTCTCCGTGCTGATCACATACGGGAATATGTGTGTTAATTACAGCAGGGTGCAGGTGGAGGTGTGTGTGGCATGTTTTCACGAGATCACTCTTCATGTGGGTATAGATACTACAGAGTTAGCAGCATGTCATCACTTAAGGCTGCACTGTTCAATCTATGTCGGCTATTTCCTGAAAACATGTGATGGCTCAAAAGACCTTTCACAAGCGTGTTCTACGTTCCACAAGCAAGCATCCACAGTCAGGAACCCGCACTGTGCTAATCCTATGGATACGAGCCTTAAAATAATTGCAACTTCTAAAACTGTTCAATTCTATTGGTCAAGATACAAAGCGCGCCAGACAGCATGTCATTTTCAAGTACGGGGACGTTTAGAAAAATTCTTTTTGACAGAAGTCCACACCACGACAAACACCGTACCTGCATATGGCTTCTTCTGCGTGAGTATTCCCCAGATGACGATTGAGAAACTGCAAGGTGGAAAAAAACAACAATTACCTCATGAGAAGCAAGACGGGTGGAATTTTTTACAGTTCTGTCCAGACCACTGCGTCTCAACTCTTATCCTGGGGCAGCATGTGTAAGAACTGGTTTTTATTCCACTGGGCCTTTCATCACCAGTGCTAATTAATGCCTGTAATTGATCTGCCTGTTGGTTTATAGCTTTTTTTTCTGTGATCAAAGAAAATGCTTGAAAAAAATACATTGCATTATTTCGAACAACCTCGGCATTTTATGCAGTTTATCATCAACTTGTAAGCGAGGACTTTGTTCCTTTATTTCTATAAAAAGTTCATAACAGGCAGTCAGTATATGATGAACAGGTACAGGAGGGAGTGGCAATGTCCAGCCACTCCCACAGCGAGTGTGTGTATTTTTATCCTGCTTAAATCACATTTGTTAGATTTTAGCTAGCATACCTATAGTAAACGAGGGCATTTCTGAGACTTAGGAATTGGCATAGGGTTGGAACCAACCACGAATGCCCTACAACAGTGTAAGAGCTGAGAAAAAAAAAACTGCACCTCAAATAGAAAGTTGAAATTAATTTGCCTGCAATTAAGTTCTTGGCTGGATGGTGGTTCCAGAGAACTAGAATTGAGAACCACTAGATCCAGAGTGTTTGCAGTGGATCCTAATGCTTACGAAGCCTGAAGAAAGAAGAGCAGAGACATGCAGGGAACTGGACAGTATGAATGTGACGTGTGTGGGAGCCTCTCTTCCTGTCTGGGTGAACAAGCAACACAAGACAGTATAAGAGAGGGTACAGATGTGAAAAGGCCTTTTGGCACATTTTCCTATCTCACCAACTCTTGGCAGGTTTACTTGTTGACTTTAATGTTTCTCCAGCCACTGGAGTTCAACACAAGTTTAAAAGAAGAATCCAGGCATTTTGGCGTGTGAAGAGGGATCGGGGCTGTCAGACTTATTTGGGTTTCAAATTGACCCGCACTGCCACCTATCCACAGGGAACAGGATCAGCCAGCACACTGCATGCATGCGTCCATCAGGCTGTGCTGCGTGGCTTTGTGTAGCAGACGAACACAAAGGCTCACAGCTGAGGACTAACAGGTGCTGGGACACATTACATCATCGACAGGGTGTGTCTGGGACATAGGGCCAGGTACAGCAGCCCTGGGCGGTGATGATCACACAAGGGGTGGACGGAGAAAATCCTGGAGGACTCTGCGTGCTCCAGACAACACAGCACACGTGAGGCTGACACAAGCTTTGCAGTAACACTCCACCTCCATCTCGCCTCCCCCCGGCGCCAGCTTCACGAGGCTCTGAGAGGCTTCAGAATTTACCGCACTTTTAAAAAACAAAACGTGTCAAAGGTAATAACAGGGATTTCACGGAACAAGCAATGTTCCGGTCTGAGCCCTACAGCGAGAATGAAAAAAAGAGCAAATGCCAGGAACTAATTCAGTAAGTGCGATTTAAAATGTCAAAACTCCTTGTGAGGAACACTTCCCGTCAGTGGCTCAATGGGAAATGCAGGGAATACAGAAAAAATGAGCCTGAAATTGTTGGCGTCACATTGCCAGGTAGGACAGGGCCTGGGAGCTGGTGATGAAGATCTCCAGCGAGATTCAGCACAGCCGGGGCTGGGCAATGGGTTACATGCAGCTTAGATTCGCTGGAGGATCCAAGATAGTCATTACTTAATCCCACTTCTAGCTCCCTGGAAAAGTCCACGTCTGAGAGGTGACTGGAAGAACTGCTGTCCCTGGAGAGTCGGGGGGACAGAGCCGGGCCCCTGTCGGCGGACTGACCTGTACACGTCGTGCTTGGTGTCCGAGTCCCTGTCCTTCTCCATGATCCTCTCGGGGGGCAGGTAGGCGATGGTGCCGCAGAAGCCGTCCCGGCTGATGTCGTCAGCCCTGGAGAGACCATTCCACCGCGCCAGGCCGAAATCCGAAATCTGAAGGAAAACCAATAGGCAAGGGTTGGGGGCCCCCGTCCGGCGTGCGTTTTCTTCTGTTTTTATTGTTAAAAGGACGAAGCCCCGCGACGTGGAGAGTACCCCGCACAGTGGGGGGGCCCTCGGTGGGTTTTGGGGTGCAGTCCCTGCTGCTGTACCTTGACGGAGCCCACCCAGCTGCACGAGTGGGGACCAGGCCCATCCCGTCCGCTTAAAACTAACGAACCGGGAAAAGCTCAGGCCCCATCGGCCACTGCAGCTCCGATACGGGACTTCTCCCTTTCTTTTCTACCTAGGCGATTGTGACAGCGTTTTTTTGCGGTTCGCTGAGGGTAACCCCCGAGCAGGAGCAGTGTTTTCGTTCTTAACCTGGGGTGGATTATATTTCTATGTGGGCCGTCTCGTGTGCTGTCGTTTCTTCCCCCCCCTCACTGCCACTCCTCCGCCAAGAAGCTCCCCTTCCCGAGCGCTGTGCGTGGGCGAGCCTCGTGCTGCCGGAGCGGGGATTATTCCTGTCGAGACTGGCCCGCGCTCCGTGTTTACAGGCGGGAGTTGTAAGAGCGAGGTGGGAGGCTGAAAGGTCCACCCATCCAGGCCCCTCGCATTAATCAGCCAGCTGCAGGGAGAGGTGGGGATCAGGGCCGGGGCTGAGCTGCACGGGCTACTTTCATCCCTTGCTCTCGAAAACAAAAGTTGCATAAAACACAGAAACACTGCAGTGGCGGATTCTGCGTCTCTAATCGAGGGGTAAATCAGGCAGATGGGGAAAAAAAAAGGCAGCTTCTTATGGAACACACCTCAAAAGGGCTTCACTGCCGGAGTCTTTAGCCTCAAGAGAAATGAATTCTGTTTTGTTTGGGGAAACAAAAAAGCCTCACACACCCCCCCCTCCCTCCCACGGCGTCCCCAGCAAAACAAACAAGAACGTGAAAACCTAAACACCTGCCAGAGCAAAAGCCTAACTTCTGCGCCAGCGAGTCGAGCTCGATGTCCCTTTTCACAGAAGATTACAAGCTGCTGCTCCCATTAAACCTCGATTTCCCCGAAGAAAAAGGCGAGGAGCCGCTATTTCAATTGAACGTGAGGACAGTTACAAATCAGAGGGGGCCATAAGGCCCTCCTGACCTGCTTATTAGTTAGTAGTTAATTGATCTGGGGATTGTTTCTCTCTGTCCCTTGCAAGCAGCCAGGGAGTCCGTTTCAACAACATGGCTGGGTAGCTTGTTCCACACTCCCACCACCCTTTGTGTAAAAAAAAAAAAAAAAGCCAATGTCTTTTTGTTTTCCTTGTAACACCCCCCCCCCACAGACCGAGTAGGACCAGCGGGTGCCCGGGACGTCTCCCCTCTGGGCGAGCCTCTCCGACTCTCACCTTGACGTGGTAGTGGGCGTCCAGCAGGATGTTGGCGGGCTTGAGGTCCAGGTGCAGGAGGGGAGGGGTCATGCAGTGCAGGAAGTTCATGCCCACCGCCGTCTCGTGGATGATGCGGAAGCGCAGCTCCCAGGGCAGCGGCTCGGAGGCCAGCAGGGTCTCCAGGGAGCCGGTCTCCATGTACTCCATCACCAGCCCCACGGGGTCGCTGCAGATCCCATACACCGGCAGGACGTACCTGAACTTGGCCACCTCCATCTTCCTGGCCTCCTCCAGCAGCTCGGAGCGCTCCCTGCGGACACGGCAGGAGCAGAGCAGTTAAAACGGCGGGCCAGGAAGAGGAGCGGTTTCGCCAACTCAAACCAGGGCCAAGCGGAGCGGCCTGGGAAAACGAGCTCAGTCTCCTTCACCGGGGATCTGGCCACTCAGCCTACACGCAGAGAGGCGTTTATGATCCTCTGGCAAACGTGCGTGGCTAAACGTGGAAAGAGGAACGTGAGCCAAGAATTAAGACTGAGACCTGCTGACAATGCCGAAACGAAATCTGATTTGATAAAACGCCTCAAATTAACAAAATCAGCAACCCCTCTGCCTTTCATATGCAAAGCAGAGTTTACCCAAATCACTGACACAGCTCATTCCAACATAAACAAGGAGCAAAGGTGATAACTGATATGCCTGCATTTGGATTAAATGCTTCCTTGCAAGTCTCATTGTTCAGTAGCAGTACAAAGTGCCCCGATTTGAAGTAATGGTCTTTTTCCTTGATGTCGTGCTGGGCTCTGGAGCACATTTGGCTCAGAAGGAAGGAAGCAATAAGCCATCTGTTGCTCACCACAGGCCTGCTTCTGCAAAAAAAATAGCTCACCTGATGCCCATTCCTGGCCCGTGCATGAGAAAATATTCCAAGAAATCTGTTTAATACAAATTCCCACAAATGCCATTGACTTCAAATGAAAAGCCCCCCAACGCACCCTTTACAAGAAGACATCTGTACATACAGCTGGCTACATGAGACCACTGTCCCAGCTTCTGCAGTCTCTTGTTGATATGCAGGACTATAAATCAATGGCGAGTATCTGAATGACAGGTTTAATGCCTTAATGGCGTTCCTCAGGGTGCCTTCCTAAGTAAACCATGCAAGGCAATGAAAGTTAATAGTCTGGTTGTCTCCAAACTCTTACTGTCGGCACTCATTAACCAGTCCTAAAGCCCCAATGTCATAGACAACACTGAAGAGACAGCAGGAGAAGTCTTTTCCAAAAGCTAAAAGACTATTGAAAATTAACAAATGCAAAACCTAGCTACTGGAATTAATGGCGCCTATATCTATGTGCAAAAAGCCTTTTTAACTCCATTCTTCTCATCTCAATGAAGTATAAACTCCATTCTAAAACATCAAGCTCAGACCAGTGAGCTCTTCGGGATCGAACAGTGGACTGCAAGCTTAATAAGCGAAGAATAAGTGGCAAAAAATAAAACTAAAAGCTTGCACTTTGATGACCAAAGGCACTTAGGCTTAGCATCAAAGTGCCACTCTGTTTTTTTTATTAAAAAATGGAATTTGGGTGACAATAAGACCCTGCTTCAGAATCTTCGTTAGCTGACTACCAGCTAATTACGGTGTGACCACTCATGACAGACAGAGACGTAGAAGTGAGAATTACTGGCCCTTAGCTACAGAAGAGCAAAGGCACACAGAGCCACCTCTGTCCCAGGTTCGCTCTCAGGCCGAGTTTTGCGAAGTGTTTTCAAATTCTGGAACACTAACTTGCCGAAGGAAACATCCATTTAAGTGAAGATCTGAGAGAGAGTGCCTGCTGGCTAATCTCTTGACTAAAAGCACTTTTTTTTTTTGCACTCTTCAGAAAAAATACAATGTCTTCTTTTACCTGTAGGCCAGCAGGACTGGTTTGGCAACATAGCTCATTGTCTCCATAAACACTGGTTAGGTAGAAGTTCGTCGAACAAAGAGCACCTGTGAACAGATTCTAGCAGTTTATGGAGCTGAGGTCTAGGGTAGATGTTCAAAAGTGATATGCCTCTGGTTTGGGTTCACTGGGCGCCAGGTCAGGATCTTTGTTAACCCCATCACTGTGTGAAGACATGTATAACCTCATCTTTACCATTCCTGCTCAACCACTTAGCACAGCCTTTTCAGAAACTGCTTGAAAAGGAACAGTCAGTTAACAGGAACGATCACAGAAGAATAACAACAGGGTAGAGCCGAGATCACAGGAGATGGAATAAGCAGGAAAGGAAATGACAGTGAAGTGCAGATAATACTCGTGGGTTGTTTAATGCCCCGTGGGCCACAGTAAGTTACTTAAGGAGATTCCTGGCTTGTGGGCATATCGAGCATCACAAAGTCAAGCCACAGGTCTATTTTTGTGCTGGTAAGGAAGGAGATTACAGAAAGAACCAACAACAACAAAAAAAATAACCTGAACCAAATCCTTGTTTTCACAATCACATCACAGGTTCTCAGTCTGAACATGCACAAGCCCAAAAAAACTCAAAAACGGGCAGGGTAGCAGTACAGACTCTGTAATACGACAGACGTAGTGTTGTGCAATCTGGTGAGCTTCTTAAAGGGAAGGCACAGTGGAAACAAGATGAAGAAATTATTTCCTCATTTCCTCTGTAAGAAGTAACATTTCTAGCTCAGCTGTATCTTCTTCAGGTGCTGGAACACACCTACAGGAGACACGCAAGCCTGTTTATTATATTTCTCCTTTTCCCAGCTAGCTGGGGTCACCCACACAAAACGCACATTGAAAGGACGGGGCCAGTGTTCAATGCCTCTGTACTGCCCGTGTCTGTTCACCAACATCACGGGTGCCTTCCTAGGGTAATAGAAGTCGGGAGCCAGCAGAAATCAGCCACCAGGTACACTGTGGAGTCCATTAAGATTTTAGATCATCAGCCAGACATTCAACCAGCTGTCACGCCAGTTATACAGCTTCACCAGTGTGGAGTGAAGGGGAACTGAAGCCTACAAACACCGTGTATCACAAAGGAAACCACTTTGTTATTATACATCTGATAACCCGAAGGTGCTGTGAATTGTATAATGATCGGGAAAAAATAAAACCTGCAGACTTGTGTGCATCGCAAAAACCCCGTTCATCAGTCAGCACGGGCACGCAAACGATACAATACTCTACTGGAAATCATCAAACGAAATATTATATTAAAGTATGGTCAAACCAAAACAAATCTAGCTGCAATATATTTGACCTTGTCTGCATTGATTGATCTGACCATGGAGGCAACTGCACTGCTTCTAACGACATCCTGCTCCAGAATTCAGGCAGGTGGGCCTGCCGTGTGTTACTAAGACAGCATGCGACTGTCGAAATGATGGCCAAAAGACTGCTCTCCTGAGCCTTTCTCAATCAGGTGGTGTGTCCCTGACGGTCCCAGACTGCTCTGCAGGGCAAGGGACAAGGGACTCGTGCCTGCAGGTGAGAGGACCCTCGAAGGCCATAAGACCCCCATCTCCAGGCCCCTAGACATGTGGTCAGACCCTGGAGGCCCCTGCCTGCCCTCCAGGTAAGGGACTGCTTGAATAGTCACGGGTTGAATCTGAAGCACGACGAGACAGGCTCATGGACACGGCCCACGACAGAGGCGCGCGCGTCGTTTGTTCCTTATCGCAAGCAGGCTGTGCTGTTCACGTCCTTGATTTTTAGGCTCTTGCGCTCTTTCCTGACAACACACTATGAAACCACCCTAAACCAGGCAGGTGCTGTCTAGTCACAGGGATATACAGGAGGCGCTTTTGAAATGAAAACACGGCGATCTTTTCTCCTGTGCGCGACAAATACGAGGGGGCCGCACTGAAAGCTCACAGCCCGGGCCCCTTCCTCGCTCAAGGGCATTGAAGAGCTTCGTAATCCTCCACTAAGAGGAGCCCCCCCGGAAAAGGAGCATAGAGAAGCAAAAACGTTCCCCTGCCTGCGAATTCGCACGCCTCCTCATTACTCTCAGGTCCCGAGAACCTAACCCGTCATGTGCAGCTGGTCTGACACACAACCAATTTTAAAAGGAAACTTAAATACAAGATATAAAAAAACACTTGCTGCAATTTAATTACATACTGTAGATTACAAAGACTTCAGATTTAAAGTTCACTTAATGGTAAAATCAGCCAATATTTGTTCAGTCTATAATAATTCAGTACCTACAAACAGCTCTCTTACTAAGGCTACGTGGAAGACATAAAAATCCTCTACAGAACTGCGGACAGCAGACCATCAAACACCTCAAAAAGTATGAGAAAGTTGTTCAGACATGTACACTGTAGCTGAATGGCCCCAGAGCTCCGTTTCCAGCATTCTCTTTGGTCTAGGGACAAACACAGATCACTAGTCATGAATCATTCACAGAGTTTAGGCCTGACTTCTGGTGAAGACTGAACAGCTCAAAATCTACCCTCATTTAATTTCAAAACCCAACAACCTCAGCCACCTTGCCAAACAGCAGTAACACACCACGGCCTCTTATCTTAGATGAACGAGCAGATTCAACAAGCAACGTGTTGTTTTTTAGCACGAAGGCCAGAGGTTGTGAAAACCCAGCCAGCACCTTGTTTTTAACTTCTTGAAACACTTACTTCTCGTCAACGTGAAGACTTGGAGGGCACTTAATTGCCAGCCATGTTTTCCACTGGACATGTCGCACTTTGTAGACTTGCCCGAACCCTCCAGAGCCAATTTTTTCCCAGCTCCCAAACTCCGAGGAGTCAAAGGTCTTCAGCAGCCCCATTATCCCAGGGCCATGGGAGCTCTCTGGCCTCTCCATGTCCTGAATCAAAACGTGTTTATTCCAAAGCGAAAATCTCCCTTCTGTCTCTCTCCTTGGGCACTCCTGTTCCTTCTCTCCCTCACAGCTCTTCCTTGTTTCCCCTGCTGTCTAACCCTTTCTATCCCCTCCCCAGGTGAACAGGGAGTGGCCTCAGACCTTCCACTGCTCACCTGTGACATCACTTCCTGCCTCCGCTCGGCTCCCTGTCAATAATACACCGCTGGGAAGGCTGAGGCGTAGAGGAAGGTGTGCCTTTGCCCACTGAAAATATTTTTAGAGTTCCCTTGTGATAGTTAAGCTAGTCCTCCCATTCCCATTGTCTCGTTATGTAATTTTTATAATCCTGTGCATTAGCTCGGCAGGACTGGAGACCACACATGAGATTGGCCAGGCAGGACAGAACAGGGTAATTTATAATATATAAAAAGTTTACATTATCTGTACTAATATAATGGCTAGATTAAATCCTTTGGTCGAGAACAGTCAGAAGTTGGTTTATTATCTACCTAACTAGACTAGGACCTCATTCTCACATTCTGCTGTTAATTGAAATTGCCATTACTATTAGAATATTACCAGGTTCACATCATGCTTTTCAGCCCAAAGGATCCCAGAGTGCTTTACATACTGGAAGGGACCCACTTCTTCCACTGCTGAAATGCTGCCCTTACCTGGGCAGATCAGGGGGGAAAATGAGCAATTGTTTACCCAGTTGATTACAGGGAAAACGTTAGGGAGGTTAAATTGTGCAAAATCGTGGTACAATTTAGCCAAGACGTCAGGTTTGACACCCCTAACTTATACAAAATATCGTCAGTTCCGTAATGACTAAGTATCCAGGACCTTGAAGGAGCATCTCATCCAACAGATGGCACCTCCCACTGCACAGTGTCCCCAGGCACCTTTGTGGGACAGTGGGTTGGAAATCCTGTCCAAGGGAAAGGGCACCACCTGCTGGCCCATCAGCACCCCTTACAGCAGCAAGGCAGTTTTTCTTAGAGGTCTATTTGCCAGGCCCAGCCTGGATTTGATAGCAATTCTGCTCTCAAGTAACTAGATCAAGCTGAAAGGTCTTCATAGAGTGAGACGTTGGGCAATGCAGGTCTGTGATCTTAAGACTCTGAAGGACTTCATCCTGATGTTACGTTCTGACAAAAACAAAGACATGCAGGTTTGCTCTGATGTTGACTTTAGCATGATACACAGCAACTCCTGACTGAGGGGTTTCTAGAGGTCACTGCCTTGTCCCAAATTATGGTAGCTGAGGCAAACCCGAGATGAAAACATCCAGCATGATGATAATCACACCAGTTCCCCCATTGCATCAGTGCTGCGTACAGGACATTCATCTCTCACCTTATTCTGAATGGGTGGTGCTGGCGATGCTGCTGTGCGTCTCTGAATACATCCATTAGCCTCTTTAGTGGTCTGATGAAAAATATGCTTTATCCTTAAGCAGAAGCATATTCATTGTTATTGTCTACTTTTTGCACATTCTATTGTGCAGATTAAACCACAGCTGAGAAATTACGGTACAAACCAGAAAGATTCTAGACAGTAAAACCTTGTCTTGTCGTTTTTCCTTAAGCGCCTTTATTGTAACGACACACACTTTGCACCACAGCCTCTGTGCTCCAGCCAGGCAGATGGCCAGCTGTAGAGTGAATTCCTACTGCGTCCTGTAGCTTCCTCACACAGGTATAGGAACAGCCTGGGCCTAGTGCCGACCACAATTCTGGATGTGCAGAATGAGCCCGATTTGTTCTTTTCAAACCGGACCGCCACCCCCTCACCGACCCGCTTACATATCTTGTGAGAAGTGTTTTGTTTCAGTGACGTGTCCCCATTTTGAAATGGGCTGCAGCCATGGAGCCAGAAAACCCGCCTTTATCGGTGCCTGAATTCCAATGAGCAGCTGCTAGCACAGAGACTCCAGACCAAGGCCAGCCCTGCAGCAGACACCACCAGGAGGTGGCCGAAGAGCCCCCTGGGTTCACTGCCCCTCTCCGGCTAGCTGGGACGTAGCCGGAGGAAGTTTTCCGCTGCGCCGCGGATGTCACCCCCGACGGAGACACATGGCCCAGGCTGGCCCGTGTCCTGATGGGGGAGCTTTCTTCTCCTGCAGCGGTTGTTTGAAGAAACAGATGAGGGGAAGGAAAACTCACAAACCTTTAATCATCCAAGACCACTAAGCAATGAAATGAGCTTGATGTGCAGAAAGGTCTCTCATTTGGAGCCTTAGCTTCTTAAACAGCAGCACAGCGATAATGGTATGTATTATAAATAACCAAAACACAACTTGTAACGTGATGATTACATGAGCTTTTTATCCATTTAGTGCAAGCACAACATCATCATCATGATCCTGAGATGAATACAATCCATTGTAAAGGACTACAAACTTGGGAGTACCGGCAGATAAAAACAATACCCATGGGGACAATACCATTACTTAAAAAACCCTTCTGGATCGCTCTTCCAATGGCCCTCCATGTTGCAGAAGATTAGCGAGCTCAGCTCCAGCTGAGAAAAAGCAGTGGCGAAAGTCAGATTTTTAATGGTAGGACGTCACAAACACTAGCGTTAGTGCGGGCAGAGAGCTGTACACAGACAGACGGAGGTTCACCCCACACTGAAAATCTTGTTTTTTCTTTCTGCTTTTCTTCCAGCTAGAGGTTATCAGCTATTCTTGTCAATATTTTCTGTAACCTCACTATCTGGAAGAATACCCTTGGGGTAAATGTGGCTGTTATCTCTGCGATATCTCACTGTGCTGCAGTGTAGGCTAAACTCAGCAGTCCAGGATTCCTCAAGAGGGCCAGCTCGCGCCTCAGGAATCTCACGCCTGGAGGGAACAGAGGAAGTCACTGGAGATCACACAGAAGTCTTGCCCGTTACAAGTCCCTCACAAATCAAATACAAAACCATCTAAAAACCGACTTTCATAAAAACATCCCGCAGTCCCGTTGCAACTCCATTAAAAATCTGCTATAACCTTTTGTGAGACTCAAGATCAGAAAGTTCCTTGATGCGGTGCGATAAAAGCCCTCAAGTTCCTTGCCCGTTTCCGAAGACAAAACCCCGTCATGACTGAAACCCGTGCGCGGCCACGAGGGGGCGCTGTCTCGGTACCGCGGACGAGCCGATTGGATTAAAAAGACGGCCGGGGGGGGTGGGGGTGGGGGCTTCCCAGGCAGCGAGGTCCGCTGATCGATCAGGGGTCGGAGCCTGGGCCGCGTAACTAGCCGACTGTGACTGGGATTGCCCGGGCAGTGACGGTGTACGAAACAAAGCCGGAGGAGTCCGATGGCGCTCTTTAACAGGAAGACGGACTGGCAGAGCCCGAGCGGAGGGTCAGACGACCTCTATCCCCAGCCCCCTGGCCACTGCGGTCAGCGCGGCCTCGGCCCCGGAGGAGCCCGCCTGCAGCGAGGGGGGGTCCGGCATGGGGGTCAGCTCAGTGACGTTGCTCAGGACGCAGTACACGGGCTGGGCACTGTCCTCCGACACCATGGTAACGCTGCCTGGCGAGGAGGAGGAGGAGGAGGAGGAGGAAGAGGGGCTGGAAGAGGAAGGTGAACTGGCAGCGGGGAGGGCGGCGGCGCGCCTGGATTGGCCGGCCGAGCCCGGCGCCTTGCGCGGCGTCCGCTTCCTCGCCATGTTCTTCATGATCTCCTCCGTGACCTCCACCGTCTCGTAGCGCACCATGTTGAGGCGCAGGTACCCGTCCTCGTCCTCTTTGTACCTGCGCGGGAGAAACGGCACAGCGGGACAGGGGCTTCAAGAACAATTCCTTACACTCGTATAGCGCTTGTCTGGACACTGCTCTCAGAGCACTTTACAGGGAATCGGGAATCCCACTACCACCACCAGTGTGCAGCCCCACCTGAGGCGTTGGCAGCCAAAGTGCGCCAGTACACCCATCACACATCAGCCAATAGTGGGGTGGAGAGCAGAGTGATGCAGCTAGTTCATAGATGGGGATTATTAGGAGGCCATGGTAAAGGGGAGGGGTGGAAATTTGGCCAGGACACCGAGGTAACACCCCTACTCTTTTCGAGAAACGCCCTGGGATTTTTAATGACCATGGAAAGTCAGGACCTTGGTTTTGTCTTATCTGAAGGATGGTGCCTTTTTTACAATATACTGTCCCCGTCAATGTACTGGGGCCCACACAGGGCTATGCAACGGGTCTCTCTCAAAGTCCATTAAGACCACAAATTCAAATTCTTACTTCCTTTTTTTTTTTTAAGCTGTCTTGCTTCTTAAGCTTCCCCGCTGCAAGGTAGCAGAAGCCACGCGGCACTCGCAATACACAACACATACTCAGCACATTGGAAGACAGATGGCAATTTTCACAGGGTGCTACACTACACTACACTACACGACGTTAAGGCTGTTTCCACACTGTAGTACCTGAACCGCGAGTGCCCAGAAGGCCACTTGAGCTCGTGCTTCTTCCTCAGATGAAGGGTGAGCGTGTAGCACCAGGAGAAGGTCTTGTCACAGAGGTGGCACTTGTACCTGGACACCCTGTCCCCCTGCACAAGAGAGCACAGCTAGGATCTCTAATGGGAAGAGGAAACCAGAGACATGCAGGAGACAGAGGCCTCAGCCAACAAATCCTACAGTTGCCATTCTGCACATAGGGAAGCATGCTCATAGCCTTTCAGCGAATAGGGATTCTCCATAACAGGGGACTGATCCCTTTACTCTTTTAACTTTCTGACACACTGAATGAGGCTTTTTTTCAGCATAAACAAAAGTTTGAGATAAAAATAAACAGAAGGTGTTATGTCAGCTTGTTTGCACGGATCTCTTAAGGGTCTTAATGGGGCACCGCAGTCCCAGTTTCTCAGACCGGTTATCAAATCTCCCTTACAAAATAAATCCATTGATGGGATAGAGAAATTTGACCAAATTCTGAAGTAAGCCCAAAACCGTGAACTTTGGAAAATTCATCGCCAGGTTGTTGCAAACCTCTGGTCTCACCACAGGCGATACCAGGAATTGGGATGTGATGCAGCCCTTCCTGCTCACTAGTCACTGTCATGACCGATGTGATGCGTTGTACTGATGTGATGCGATGTCAATAAGTGAATAGGTACAGGTTGCGCAGCAGACATTTCACCTCAGAAAGTTTCCAACATCATCTACACGAGTTAACAAGTAAGTTCCATTTATTGGTAAAACCGCCTCAAAGTCGAGAGCAATAATTCTACTGGATTAAAAGAGATGTCTTCACAAGACTGCCTGTTGGCAATGTAATAGGGCCACTTCACGTCACTGGTAGCTTTACTGCCTCATTCTGAACTGCAGAATATGGTGCTGTACACACCTGGAAATTGAGTCAATACTGAGATGTGAAATGGAGGCTTTACTGGTTACTGTGTCCACTTTACTTTCATGTTTTTTTTGGTTTGGTTTTAAGTTTATGGTTTGAAATGCACTCATCAATGCTGACTCTTTCTCACTCTGAAATAGGGCGTTGCAGTTCCCCTTAAAGCAAGGGACCATGCCTTTAAACAGAGTGAGCAGGCCCTGTTGTACTGCCCCCTGCTGGCTGACCGACCTCATGCACCCTCTTGTAATGCTGGCTCATGGTGTGCGCCATGCGGGAGGAGTACTTGCAGCCCTCCACACTGCAGTGGAAGGCAGCTCCCTCGTTGTGAGTCTCCATGTGCTTGCGCAGGTCGTGGGAGTTTTTAAAACTGCAGGGAAACGAAACAGACCAGTTAGAACCGCTGTTACAAATTTCACCCATCTTCAAACCGCTTGTCCGGTACAGGAGCTCTGGGGGAGCTGGAGCCCAGCCTGGCAGGCAACGGGCGCAAAGTACACCCTGGACGGGACGCCTGTCACCGCAGGACAGACGCACAGACACACTACACACACACACACTCATAACAGGGCCAAGTCTCCCTCCAGCCAATTCACCTCCCAGCATACCTTGGGACTGCGGGAGGAGACGGGAGCACCAGGAAGAACATGCAAACTCCACACAGACAGCACCCAGGTCCAGAATTGCACCCTGAGCCCCGGCGCCGCGTGGCAGCAATGTTTTTTGCCCAGTTCCAGTTTATAGTACAATTGCTTCAACCGCCAGACCCACACACAGTGAAGCAGTCTGAGGATGTTCAGATATGCAGGGAACCAGAGTCCTAGGTGCCACTCTTACCCGCCAAGAGCCTAAAGCAAGACGACAAAACACTTAAACAACATTTAAACGCTTCGACTGCCTGAGGGGCGGCTCTGAGCCCCTGCACGGTTGCCCACCTGCTCTCGCAGAAGTCACAGGGGAAGGGACGCTCGTCACAGTGGCGGAACTTGATGTGCGTCTTCAGGGAGGCCAGCGTAGTGCAGGTCATGTCACACAGCGGGCACTTGATGTGGTTCACTGGAGGAAGAGGAGGTGCGTGCGCCAGTTAGCTCTTCTGAGGCACGGGCAAGACGGTTTCACAAGCTGTAATAAAGCTTTACTCCAGGCTGAAAGGAGAAGAAATGAAACACAACGTTTCGGCTGTGGAGCCTTCTTCGGGCGTGTTTCTTTTCTCCTCTTTTCAGCAGGGAATAAACCTTCTCTTGTTCCTCTGCAGCCTACGCATGCTGACGCAGCTCCCTACTTGAAAGTAATATTTGCCCAGAGGAGGTCACCTACGGGCAGCAGTGTGGAGCAGCGTTCTGGGTTCTAGGACTTTGTGGGTTCAAATCCCAGGGGAGGGACAGCTCTTTTACCCTTAAGCCAAGTACTTCACCTGAATTAATCCAGTGAAATACCCAGCTGTATAGACAGGTACTAAGATAAGCTGCTTTGGATAAACACCCCAGCCACATAAATGATTAAACAGTGACCTATCCTGCACCGGGGGGTGTTCAGTGTTCAGGACTCACCGTGCTGACGAACATGGTCTCTCAGCAACCTCTCGTTGGCAAATGGCTTGTCGCAGTGCTCGCACACAAAGGACTCTGCAGCAGGGCAACAAGGAGACGGCGATTACAAGACGGCAGCATTTCACTAAAACCAAGAGCACTGCATTGGAATCATCCCCCACCCGGAAAACGTCTTTAATTTTTCCCCAATTATATTTCTGCCCAATATGGCAGTACATACCAAGCCCAAGAAATGATGAGGGGGAGCAAATACTGCCCACTTATTTAGAGCACTGTCACAATCACTGCTTAAAAAAATTACAAATATTACATGTACTTGTGGGATACGAGGAGAAATGACAGATGTAGCACAGTATAAAATGACCCATAAATGAGGTCAAATGCATTGAGTTACTTAAATACAGGAATTCACAGGACCTAACAGACATCTTTATTTTTTTTGAACGTTCATTTGCATGCAGAAAAGCCTCCATAAGCCATCACCCACTACAGTGTTGGGGGTACATGCGTAGCAGGAGCGAGGCTGCCCCCTGGTGGAGGACTCACCCTCTGTCACTGCCTGTCTCTGGATGTGATCAAAGAACTTGGTGTTGCTGGCGAACATGCACCCGCAGGTGGGGCAGGCCACCACGCGCTCCTGCGTGTGGCTGCGCAGGTGCTCCCGCAGGCGGTACTTGATCTTGAAGAAGGCATCGCAGCCTGCAGGACAGCGAGGGCCAGGCGGTCAGCCACTCTGTGCTCCCAGCACCCCTCCCTTCTGCTTCCCACAAGGCCCTTTCAAAGCAACCTGCTGTTCACCTGGCTCAGCTCTCACCTGGGCCTCAGAGTCCTCAGTGTGCCGCTGGGATTCAATTAAGTCCCCTGCCAGTCTTTCCTGCCTGCTGCCTCCCTCTCCACCCTCAGGGAGCGGGAGTCAGGCAACCGTACGCAAAGGGTGGCGGGAGCGGGGAACAAGCTCCCCCCAGCCATGCGGTTGAAACCCATGTGGATTCTTTCAAGAAACGGTTGCTTGAGACTAACTACCAGGCAGGCCGCAGGGGGTGCAAGGGCCCTGCATTCGCGCCCTTTCCGATGCTCGGACTTACCTTTCCAGCTGCAGAACAGAACCTGGTGCTGGTCCGGCAGGGTCTGGCTCTTGGTGCAGTGAGCGTGCATGTCCACGTGGCGGTAGAACCACTCGGGGTTGTTGAAAGTGCTCTGGGCCAGAGACAAGCTCGTCACGATCACAGGCTAACGAACACGGGTGCGAGCGTTCCAAAGAGAAAGCCCAAAACAGGCGCACAAAAAGGGCCTTAGGAGACTCACGTCGCAGTGCTCCCACTGGCACACGAATCCCTCTGCCAGCTCCGGCACCAGGTTGTTGCCGTGGAGATCCTGCCGGCAGCTGCGCAGCTCCGGGTGCAACTGCAGCAGCTGCGTGCCGATGAACTTGAGCTTGGCGTGGAAGGTGTGGAAGTGGGCGTGCACCACCAGCTCGCTGGGGCTGCCCATCGCCAGGAACTCACAGCCCTGCCACAGGCAGGCGTACTCGTCTGGAAGAGAATGGGCCGCAGCAGGCGGCACATTGGCGGTGAGCTCTGCCCATCCCTGCCCCCCGTAGCACCGACGCCAGCACATCTGAAGGGTGCCGTTCACTAAACCGAATTATTTCATTAACTGGACAAGCATGGCTTGTCTCCAGGCCTCAAAGTCTTTGGTTTTTTATGCACCTTAAGCCAAGTGCACGTTTGAATTCATTAGCTTTTAAAATGGACAGAAAACACACACACACATCCCAGCCACCGAGAGCACCGGCTGGGAAAAACACTGCCAGATCCTGACACAACAGAGAGCTGACTAGTTGCTTCAATGGTGCAGTACTATCTTATCCTCATTCCTTCAATAAAAACTGTCGGCAGAGGAACAGCATTTAGAGTGCTGTTAAGCGCCAGTACAATTCCCGTACGGAGCGCGTCAGACACCGTCACGAGAGCAGTTACAGTTCCACACTGTAACCCATTGAGTAAAATCACCTACAGGACAGACGAAAGTGTGAACTCGACACACTCAAGAACAGGAGCCCCCAAGACTCAGTCACCCATGGGAGAGAGCTGCTCCGGACCGACTGCGAGGCGTGCGTGCGTGCGTGCGTGTGTGTGTCCTCGTCCTCACCGAGCTCTTCGATGGCGTCTCCGTCTCCCAGGTGCTCCTTCATGTGAAGGGACATGTGGTCGCTCAGCTCCTCCATGCTCCGGCCCTTGAAGGAGCAGGATGCCCACTCACACGCCACCATGAAGTCGGACAGACACCTCTTCTTCACCATGGTCTTCGCCAGCCTGGACAGGGGACAGGCCCGTTACCACAGCAACACTGGAAATCAGGACAGACCACCTCTAGCCCCAGCAAGGCACGTTGAAACACAACACTAAATGAAAAAAGCCCTTTTTAAATTCAAAAGTGAGGAAACGACTACAAAATGGGGGGAGAACTGCCACCTTCCGTGTCTTACAGCTTTATGATTTCTGGACCTTTCTACGTTAAAGCCACCTATTTATAACTGCTTCTGAAAGAGCACAGAACAAGCTGAAGCTGCAACGTTTAGACCAGTGGATAATTTGCGAAAGATAAATAAATGGCGACGAACTCCAGTGCTTGCATGATCACGTTAATCCGATTTTAGACGTGCGACTGGCAACAAAACAAAACGTCCTTCTCGCACAACTTTTCGCAAACACAACAGATTGTGTTGATACACGGCGTTTACGGAGAAATATCGAAATGCATCAAAAGGTTTTTCTCTCGCAACTCGGATACGCGTTGTGTAATCGTTATGCTGACGTCGAAAGCTGTTACACACCATTTGTTGAACATCAAGCAAACTGATCCCCGTGTAAAACGAAACATTTTCACAGGTTGGTAACCATTTTGAAACGTTTCCTTGGTTTAAACGGTACCGTTTTAATCCACCCCGCGTCAGGGTTGCAGATGATCAGATATCTCAAGAGTTGCTCGGATCCACGATTAATATTTTTTTTTCCCTGCGATTCAGTGCCTATAAGACACATGACAAATTACACAAAGGACTATATTTCTGGCTCTGTAGAAAAAGGATTTAATCGGGCAAGGCATTTACTCGAATCTTTAGTTTGTGTTTGTTGCTAGCACACCGCGTATTTTTAAGAATCGCCTATATAAAGGCTGTTTCAAAAGCCCAGTTTTATTTTACCTTCAACGCACTGCTTAAAAGCGATCGATCAAGTAAAAAAAAAATATATATATATAAGCAGAGGGGGTTAAAAACAGCGCACAGCTACGTTTCCCGGAGCCTGTTAGGTAAGCATTTTCTCGATGCACGCCTCTGTCCCTTTCCTGTTATTTTCGATCACTTCCTGCTATTGTCCGTACGGCAAATCACTCACATTTACCGCGTAAATTACATTTTTACACGGGATACCGCCTAGAGACGAAACCCCTCGTTTTGATTCGCGATCGGACCGTCATTCATGTTTAACCGACCTTTTGCCTCCCCCCCAAAAAAAAAATACAAGGACTGAAGCCCTCCGACCTCTTTCCCCTCTCTTGGTCGTCACAAGTCCCCCCAAAAACACAAAATAAGTTTTTTTTAAAAAAAAACCTTTTCTTTTTAGTTGGCGCCGTTGAAGATGGTTTTAATGTCGACGAGAAACGTTCGTTATTTGGCGACACTCTTCCCAGTTACAACGTACGCTGGAGCGAAATCCTTTTTTAATGTAAATACGAATACTAATTACTGACATTGTTTCAGAACAGCTCCATCAACAGGTACCTGCTGTATATTGCCCGTGAGGAAAGATTGTTACAATTCGGTGAAGGTTTTCAATAAAACACCGAGCCTGATCGCTGAATTATTTGGGAGAAAGCTCTGGTAATGGCAGACGGTTTAAGACAGAACGGTAAATGATATTTTCCAGAAAATATATCCGCCTACTGTAATGCAGGCTCAATGACATACAATAAAAAGTAGCAAGTTGAAATATATAGAGAGATATGACAGTCATTTGGAGAGTGTTGTATTATTAAGGTTACTGTTGGAAACAGTACGAGACAGTCGGAAACTCTATGAACAGATGTAACCCATAAACAAAAATAATCAAATGAAGGTCTTATCATTCAACTCCTGTAGGCAGTGTATCGGAGAATTAAGAACCGTTTTAACAAAGTTTTTAATGTTTTTATTGCGTCATAGTTTCTCACTGCAGTTGGACACATAGTGATGGCAAAAAAAAACCTGAAATGTTTTTGTTTGATACTGTCTTTCAATGTGAGGCATTCCATTATAAAGTGCAGTACGTAGAAATAATCATGGCAGTTTTTAAAAATGTTGACCCCCCCCCCACCCAAGAAGTCAGGTTGTAGTATGGCTTTTACTTGTCAATTTCTTACACACAAAATAAAAGTTTTCAGTGTGCATTCATTCAGTTTGCAGAGTTTGCAGGTCAGTTGTTTCACCTTTCCACTTAGGTACTGTACGTCTGCTGGTTTTCATTCTAACTCTACTCTTAATGACCCGATTCTTAGATTACTGCCTTGATAGAATGAAGTTGACATTTTCTCCTGTCTGTCCAAGGGTCTGGCCTGTAACAAGACCTAGCAAACAGCAGGATAAGCTTTAATCTCTTCAAGCAACAGTCAACGTTCAAGAGGGCTCTTGGCTCATTTTTGCCAGTTCAATTAGAGCTTGGAGCAGGGGCGTCCAACCCTGGTCCAGAAGGGGGCACTGTGTCTACAGGTCTTCAGCACTGGAAGAGGTTGGGGGCAGGTGTTAAAAGTGGTCCCAGTAAGTCAATAATGAAATGGTTCAGGTTGTTGAGATGACGTGGAATTTAAATCCCTGGGCATGGATGAAAAAAACAAACAAAAACTCTTTCATGATAGAAGTCGCCATTGCGTTTTTTAAAAATAACGGAATCCATACCAAGTCTTTAAAGTATCCAAAAGCCTTTTATTGAAGGTAACTGTAATCAGGTATTATTCTCAAATTAAGAGAGTGAGAAGTTTAAACCATCTAATTTATTGTTGGAACCCGCTGATCGTATTACCCCACATTCTACAAAACATTAGGTATATGCGTGTTACTTCTGTGTGACATAAAATATACTAAAAACAGTTGTATTTCTGATTATTATGATTGATTTTACCCCTTCACTAAGCTATTAATGCAGGAATAAGAAACCTTTCATAATATTGCATTATAGATATTATAGATTCAAAGGAAAATATTACAGAACACAGAAAAGGGGCTGTTTTTTTTTATAAACTGGTTAAACTGAATACATATTAAGGGTCTAAAAGAAAAATAAAATTCATACCGAAGTCCACTTGTAAAAAAATGTCTAAATATTCATATACATTTGAATTCTGCTTCATTGACAAGAACTCTGCTCAGTCCCATACAGCCACATTGTCATAACTCTGTACTGTTCCACATTTACGGACTTCACTATTAAAACGCATTTCCCTCACACTTCCATCAGATCCTCCTTTAGAAAAACAGATAGCAGCTCACAATGTTTTCACATTCATTCGACAGAGTTCAGTACAATTAAAGCTGATGAAGAATTCTATTCCCCCACCCCACCCCAGTTAAACAGACTCTGAATTCGTGGCTAACCATACACTCGGGA